CGGTCCGGAGCCGGGAACATGGAGAGAAAGGGGCGAGCAGCACCTAACCAAACGGGGCGGCCACGGGGCATTCGAGTGGGAAACCAACCTAGCATGTTGCAGCAACCTAACCTAGCTTGCAACATGGATGCCGCCTGTACTCTGAACAGTAATAACATCAGGAGAGTACTGGAGAACAAGCAGAGAATCACTCGCAAGACTCCGGGTCAAGGTGTCAGTGACCCAACAGGCAGCACGACGGAGGTAAAATTGGCGACTGTCACCCGGAGACAAGGGAACAGCAACCAACGATCCCGTACAAGACGGGTTGGAACCCGGAAGACACATTCAATGGTCCCCCGAGCCCAGACAGGGGTTTCCAGGGCCCGTAGGGTAACAACTACGGGAAGCCCGGGCAAGGTGTTGCTAACCGGTTAAGAAACCCAAACATAACAAGAGGGTAGATTATAGCACTGAAAACCCCTGAGACGTGTACAAGCACGGGGGCCTAGCAGAGGGCCGCCAAACACTACCAGTGGAACTATAACCACCTTAGGCAGACCCCCACCAGGCAAGAAAAATGAAAAACAAAAGAAAAACCCCGCAAAAGTACACCGTCTCCAGAGGCAACAGAAACCGGCCGCCGCTTAGGTGGCAGGCTGCGCAACACCTTGACGCCCTAACCAGCACAATACCAATCCCTACCCAGGGCCAAACAAGGGCCCCAAGCCCCAGCTGGCCCCAAGGGCGAGGCAAATGCCGAGCAGCAAGAACCTCAACGGGAATGGTTCCCGAACGCCCCAGGGAAGATAACCCTGTTACGCAAGGGCAGTACTCACAGGGCGCTTAGGGAAGGCAGCCACTAAGCACATGCAGCCCCGGCACTGATGAAGTACTCCTGGCCACCGCACACCACAACACACGGCAGTGAACGCCACACAAGGCAAACACCGCCTAGGAAACTGAGGCCAGAGAAGCGTCAATCCCGGTTGACATTAGCGAACGAACTGGAGCTTGGCAGCCGGCGCGGTAGGTCCGGGGCTCCCCCCTCCCCCTCCCGGGGTGGGGAGGGCTGCGCGGACGATCGGCGCGGCAGTAAAGTGTGATGTTTGCTTGTTTGCTTGTTTCCTTGGGATTGTAGGGAGTTTTCTACCTCTCTGTTCGGTTTTTGTTGTAGTTTCTTACCATGTGGGGTTTGTTTTGTTACGCCTACCTTTCTGGGTGCCTAACCCCGGTCGATGGCAGATAAGGAAAACCCCCAACCATATGGGGTTTTTCCAGGGCCATTGCTCCCTGAAACCTCTCTGAAGGGGCCAGGTTCTGGCGCTGGTCCCTGGTAGGTCTGAACTCCTTAGCTAATGTCCCGGTCTAACATAACATACATTAGCCCGATAAGCTCCAGGGAGCCATAGGGGCTCCCCACAGAAAAATACAAACCAATATGAATGCTTCTTTGGGACTGTTGCCAGCAGACTAATGTTATGGTTCTTCAAGAAAAACTGAATCCGACTAATCCCGATATGCCATGCATCATTGCACGGATGAGTATAGAAGCAAACTTGGCATCTGACAGCTTCACATACTTCACAGAAGGATTAGTAGACCAGCGGAGACAAATATCTAGAGCTGCAGTTAAGGCAGGAAATTCTATAGTCAGTTGGAGACACAAACAGGTGTTCAATCTTAAAGAGATGCTAGCCATTCAAAAGGCTTCGAAACATGCTGTTGCTGAATGCCTACAACATGATATCATGCATACAAACTGCCAATGAAAGCTTGCAAGAGGAACACTTACTTGACAACATCCATCTGACCACAAATGTCATAGCATTAATGCAAACACTTAAGAGACATGGTTACCTTACCTTGAGGTTACCTTGAGGTGCTTCCGGGGCTTAGCGTCCCCGCGGCCCGGTCGTCGACCAGGCCTCCTGGTTGCTGGACTGATCAACCAGGCTGTTGGATGCGGCTGCTCGCAGCCTGACGTATGAGTCACAGCCTGGTTGATCAGGTATCCTTTGGAGGTGCTTATCCAGTTCTCTTTTGAACACTGAGGGGATTGCCAGTTATGCCCCTTATGTGTAGCGGAAGCGTGTTGAACAGTCTCGGGCCTCTGAGGTTGATAGAGTTCTCTCTCAGAGTACCTGTTGCACCTCCGCTTTTCAACGGGGGTATTCTGCACATCCTGCCATGTCTTCTGGTCTCATGTGATGTTATTTCTGTGTGCAGGTTTGGGACCAGCCCCTCTAATATTTTCCACGTGTAAATTATTATGTATCTCTCCCGCCTGTGCTCAAGGGAGTACAGATTTAGGCTCTTTAGTCGGTCCCAATAGTTTAGGTGTTTTACTGAGTGGATTCTAGCAGTAAAGGATCTCTGTACGCTCTCCAGGTCAGCAATTTCTCCAGCTTTGAAAGGGGCTGTCATTGTGCAGCAGTACTCCACTCTAGAGAGCACAAGCATTTTGAAAAGTGTCATCATCGGTATAGCATCTCTAGTGTGAAAAGTTCTTGTTATCCAACCTGTCATTTTTCTTGCAGTTGTGACGGCTACTTTATTGTGTTCTTTAAAGGTAAGGTCTTCCGACATGAGTACACCCAGATCCTTTACATTGCCTTTTCGTTCTATGTTATGATTTGCCTGAGTTATGGTTATCGGATCCTTATCAACGAGGTGCCAAAATATGTAGGTATACTAGGGAATGACATTACACATGAAGCCGCAAATCTTGCAACTAAGAGGTGGAATGAAGATAATTACATACCACAGTGAAAATAATTATATATAGAGCAAGGCAGAAGATGAACAGTGACCATACCACAGATGCTGCAATGTCAGGAGCTGCAAAGGTTGGTATAAGAATTCCACCAACTATGAACTTATTTTGATGAGAGTAATAGAAAAACAGCAGTGCACTTATATTGTATCAGGCTTGGAAACCTATGTGCGTGGGAAATAGACGCACAGGTTCCAGAAGAAGAAAGGAAATGTAAGCACTGTGAAGAAATGCCTGCCAGACCACTGCAGTATTAACTACACATTTCAGAATTACAAACAAAATAAGATTTCAACCAAGATTTAACATCACAGAAGTAATTGTTAAATACATTGGCAATGATCTTACTGAAGCTAACATACAAGTCATAAATACTCATCCAGTGCCTAAGTAAGACAGAAATGACAAACAAGTAACAGTGAGCCAGCTGCAGGCCTAAGGGACTGTGCAAGAATATCCCTGCCCCCAAAAAATTATATACTGTATATCCCTCCACCCCCCACCCAAAAAAAAAAAAGTGCGCCTACATCCACAATGAAGCTGAACTAGTGAAGGTATAAACACTCAAGTAATCCCCGTGATAACAAGGAGAGTATCCATAGATAACCAGTGCAGCCAGTGGACTTATAAGGGTACCAACTCACCAATGCCCATTGACCAAAGTCTTGCTAGCCCTGTTATCCAGACAAGCTGATTAATTCAGCCTGGCTCCACTCAACCTCCTGTTTTACCCCTGTTCCTCTACCAAAGATGCTGTTGCCCTCCAGGAGCCTCAGCCACTGTGAAGTGTTAACATTCCAGATGAAGGGAAAAGGGGAATGCGTGTGTTCTTCCACGAAAATATACGGGTGGCAAAGTTAGACAGCTTTGGTCATGCGTTTTCCACAGCAGTCAGTGTGGCATGGGAGACCCAAAAGACACATGAAGGAACACACCCAAAAATCCTCCTGCTGGTATCAAACAAGGCAATTAAGCCCCCACTGTTGGATGAATGGATCAATCCTCTGTTGATCAACAGAGGATTGGTGTTAACAAGTTACAAGGATCCCTGCCTTGCAGGGATCAGCATCCCCCCCAAAAAAACAAAGCCCTTTAGTACCTGTATATCAATTATAAGACAATTAAAAACCCTCATAGTAATACAAATTGTTCATAAATACAGACTTTTATTTACTGAATGCCTCAAAGTTGATTGATCAAGAAATAAAATGATAAATTAAAAACTAGAGTTCTATCATTGGACTGAGTTATGAAAACATACAAGACATGAAGGCTATCAGGTCATGGTGGGTTAACAAGTTACAATTTTAACAAAATTACAATATATATTAATTAGTGTATAGGTTAAGAAGACAAATACAATTAGCAACAAATAAAATTTGCCTTTAAGATAATGTATAATTCAAATGCAATACATAATTCAGTTTTTTCTACATTCAATAAACATCACATCTAGCAATAAATGACTTGCATATTAAGTAAAAAATACAATCTGATCTTCAACATTTTTAAACTTACCTTACTAAACTTACACTATTAAGCTACATTTATAACCTTACCTCACTAAGCTTTATTTATTACTATTTAGTCACTTACTATGCACCCCCATAAGGAGGCCTGGTTGTTGACCGGGCTACGGGAATGTTGAGCCCCAAAATCATGGCAAGGTAACCCATACCCATCCCATGGGCAGAGATGAAAAGGGTTACAGAGGCTCATGGGTACAGGAAGTGAACCCCATAGTTCATTTAGCTAATCAAGTAACAACTTTGTGAAGATCGAACACCACTGACGGTTATCTCTGAATTCTGCAATTTTTTTCACATTTAATTACATAGTGATGCAAATTATGTTAATAGTTCTATTGACAGTTTACAATTAATCAAGTCTACATCAGTAGGTAGTGCAAGTTTCCAAGGATACGTTTTGCCAAGCCTGAGCCTAGCAGAGGTAACATCTAGAAATGTACTAACCTTATTGGATGGTCCATAGCTGTGTGGTCCTTCCTGCATAATATGATTGCTTACATTTGTGAGTTGATCAACAGAGGATTGGTGTTAAAAAGTCTCCGTGGTGTAGTGGTAAGACACTCGCCTGGCGTTCCGCGAGCGCTATGTCATGGGTTCGTATCCTGGCCGGGGAGGATTTACTGGGCGCAATTCCTTAACTGTAGCCTCTGTTTAACGCAACAGTAAAATGTGTACTTGGATGAAAAAACGATTCTTCGCGGCAGGGGATCGTATTCCAGGGACCGTAGGATTAAGGACTTGCCCGAAACGCTACGCATACTAGTGGCTGTACAAGAATGTAACAACTCTTGTATATATCTCAAAAAAAAAAAAAAAAAAAAAATTCTTATCACATGTGATCGTCCAAAACATTGTCCCAATTTGTATTATATATACTATATATTAATACTAAAGCACCATTGTCTGGATGTGCATAATTACTGTCAGTGCTAAGAGGTCTAGTTTCCCAGTGGGCCACTTCGAGAGGCGTCGCACATACTCAACGCTGCACAATACTGAAAGTAATAAGTCACGAGCATAAGAAAAGCACAAGCAAATCAGGGATAAATTAAGAAGTACCTGCATTTGGCACAATTGATACATGTCACCTCAATCCACAACATCAAAGGCAAACACACTGGCATCCCAGTGCTAACGTATTTGCCCTTGAAGGCAAACAAAATTATTTTCATCACAATGAGTATCTAATAATAGTGTTTATTTTATTTTCGTATTTTACATGTTTTGCAAGAGTCCGGTTTTTTTCAGAAAAATGTACTTCTTTGTCCTTTCATTTAACTCTTTATTTAGCTTGAGGTAAAGTTCAAGGTTGTGGGGTAAGCAGTCAAAGTGTGCAGCACAATCAGAGCCTGCTGCTGGGACTCGGTAAGGGCATCGTAACTCAGAAGTTCTTCCACCTTTGAGTGAGCTTTCAGAGCATGTCCAGTTCTCTCAGGAGGAAGGGAATGGTAAGCCTTTCTAAGTAAGGGTGTTGCCATGTCTTGGTGTAGCTGTAATAGTTCACACAATAATCCTGCATCTTCCAATGTGAGGTGAGTTGACAGCTGGCAGATGCCTTGACAGATCTGAAATATGGCAACACACAATTTAAAACACGTTATAAGTTATTATCGGCATGTAACTGGTCAAAGGATATAACTGCATTGTATTATGGAGAATAGAAAATCTACACTTTGTATAACAAAAACTTCAATGAAATGGAACAATTTCAAAACTTTAATTTTCACACAGAAAATCACACTAAACATGATATATATTAATGAGAAAATCAATTTGTGACTCTGAAGCTCTCTCTCCCGCTAGTTCATTTAACCATTACTAGAGTATGAGTACACTGCAATACACCTTCTTATTGCCCACTTGACTCACTCGAGTGTTCATAAGACACCAATAACCTCTCTAACTGTAAGAGTTAACTACGAAAACTAGCCTATCTTTTGAAACAATAGAAAAGAATGTTAGTGTATCAAAATAGATGAAAAAAAAACTGAATGTACCTAATGAAACAGCATTTTATGGGGAAAGCCCCTTCGGCTCCCAGGAGCTAACCCGGCTGATATGAATGTATTAGACCCTGGCATCAGTCAATGCACATGGAGTTCTAGTCGTACAGGAGATCACGAGCCAGAACCTGGCCCCCCTCAGAAAGGCACGAGGAGCAATTGCCTATAGAAACCCCCGTGTGGTTGGAAGCATTCCATATCTGCCATCGACTGGGTCTGGCACCCAGAAAGGGTAAGAGCCCCCAAACAAATCCCTATTCTCGTTAAAATATTCCTACTTAAAGCCGAACTAGTGACAGAACTCCCCAAATAAAAACGAGCAAACTAACATGACGTCACCACATCACCACACAGCTGTCTGCACTGTGATGGAAGGGAAGCCCTAGACCTACACGCCGGCTATCCACCCTGCAGTTCTGAGGCTGGATATCAAAACTGTGAAAAAGAAAAACTGCCAACCGGAAGGAGGGAGGGTTGCCTGGGAGCCTCCAGGTCTCACCCAGAAAATGGCATTTCATTACATTCAAAGCTGGTTTTCATGAGGGGTGGGGATCCTTCGGCGCCCTGGAGCTTTTTACCCAAAGACAAAAACAAGAGGGACTTACCCGGGAGGCAGTCGGCACCCGCTCCTCAACTCAAAGTAGAGATGTCTGGTTGCAACTGCTGACCCAAAGCGACACAGGCCCCACTAGGCCTAGGAACATTGACAAGGTAGTGAGCAGACAGGAACCTGTTCGACTTCCAAAACCCCCACGCCCGAATGTCAGCCCAAGACATGTTACCGAAGATGGCAGCCGGCGCAGCAAACTTACAAATGTCCTAGACTACAGGCTTGCTGAATTGAATAACCCTGCTGATGACCTGGGAGACCCAAACCCTGGAACAAGGAAAAAGGGAACCAGGTTTACCCAAAGTGCGTCCCCGGTCACAGAGGCCATGGCGTGCAAAAACCGGCAGAGAGCCACACTGGACACAACACATGATGCAACCCTGGCCTGATCAACAAAGCATCTACAACCAAAGGACCCCACCTCCGAAAAGCAGTAGCCTCATTCTTCACTAGAAAAGGATATGGCTGGAAACGAGGAAACCTATCACCATGACCAAAAGAGCAGAAACCCCAGAAACCCCGGAGGAGAGCATGAAGCTCCCCGACTCAACCCCCAGAGGCCAATGCCAACAGGAAAAAAAAGAGCCTTGGAGAAACAATCGAACCGAAGGGGCCACTACAAACCGAGGGGAAGAGAGATAAGAGAGCACCCGGTTCAAAGACCAGGACGGCTCAGGTAGCGCATGAGCAGGCCGGAGGTGAAACAACATGAGACATCTTGTGAAACGATGCAGAAGTAACATGAATGCCAAACGCAAGCTGGAGCGACTCCACCAGTGCCACACGATTCAAGGGGAAAATATTCAGCATAAGATGACGGTCCTGAAACAATCACAAGAGAAAGGACAAGACAACCCTATTGAAAACTGAAGTTAACCAACGAAGGGACAAGAAGAAAAGAAAGGCCCACCAGAAACTGGTCCTTCATACTGCCACCGAGATGAAACACGCAGGTGGGACATCATCAATGAAGCCACCTGCTCAACATACAAGTGGAGATGGACTCGAGTCAGAAAGACCAGACACGAAGACTCTAGAGAAGATTGAACCAGCAATGTAATGAACCGGACCTGTCTGCTGAAAAAGGCAGAGCCGCGGGAAAATCCCAGGGTTCGGACACCGAACAAGCAGCGCCTGAAACCAAGGCTGGGCCGGCCAACACGGAGTCAAGAGGACTACTCTTCGCCGGTAAGTCTCCAAGCGAGCTAGGACCTGGAGCAACAGCTGAACCAGGGAAAAGAGGTACAGGTAACCCCACCTCAACCAGTCCTGCCGCGAGGCATCGACTCCGACGGCCTCACTGTCAGGGAAGGGCGCCACTCCACGACGCGAAGAGTTCCACTTCCGGGGGCCCCTACATTCAGCAGAATGGACAAGTCGGCATTGACCGTCCATTCTGTGGACAGAGGAATGGACCGTGACAGGCCGTCCGTCAGGACGTTGGACACCCCGTGAACATGAGCAACCAGGAAAGCCAAACCCCCTGAGAACTCAGCAGACGAGTCACCCGAAGCAACCAGCCACATAGAGCGAAGAATTCCCTCGGTTCAGGCAATAAACCACCAGAGAGTAGTCCGAATGGAGCTGGATCGTTGATCTGCAAGCGACCCGAATCCTCCGAAGCGACATCCCCACCTCTGCAAACTCCCGCACCGTGCTGTGTGCCTGACAGAAGACCAGACCCTACCACCCTTGGCTGGCCTGGTGAGCACTGGTCACAAAGCCCCAGCCAAGCCATTCACGGATGATGAGTCTGTGAATACATTGAATAAAACACTTGGCTCTGATAGACGCCAAGGCACCAAACCTCGAAAAACTCCAAGTGGAAGCTGGCGATGCAGCAGCCGACACAAGGCACTTGGAGGCCGAAACCAGTGATCACGAGAGAAGTGGAAGGAAGTCCCTGAAGGAACCAGAACAGCCAACAAAACCAAACCCGACCCGGCGGGTAGACCATCATGGCAAAGTTTAGGCGCCCACACAAACCCTCAAGCAACTGCCGGGTGACCCGGAAGCCCCGAGAAACAGGTGAAGGCGGGACTGCAGCCGAAGCAGAGACTCTGGATGGAGAGACAAGGAAGTGGTCCGAGAGTCCCACACAAGACCTAGCCAAGACCGAACCTGAATGGGAATCAGATAGGACTTCTGCCAGTTCACCAGGAAACCGAACCAGGCAAGCTGGGAAAGAATCAAATCCCTAGCGAGCAGACACGTGGACTGGCTGAGAGCCCACACCAGCCAGTCGCCGAGATAGGCCAGAACACGAACCCCTAAGAGACGCAGACGGGCCACCATGATCCGGGTTTGATATGGTAAAATGCGAGGTGCCAGATTCAAGCCAAAAGAAAGGAAAACAGTAACCCCGATGTCCCTCAGCAAAAACGAGCCAGTCCTTGAATCCAGGATGAATCGGGATATGCCAATAAGCGTCCCGGAGGTCCAGGGATACCAAGCACCCGGTGCCAAAAGAAGCCGGACCTGGGACAGAGTATTCATCTGAAAGGAGGGGCAAAAGACTCAGGGGTTCAGACGGGACCTTACCTCGAGATGGTTTCGGGTCTTAGCGTCCCCACGGCCCGGTCCTCAATCTGGCCTCCTAGACAAGTCCAGAATGAACCGTAACTCCATACAGGCTCGTTTTGGGACTGGAAACAGACAGGAAACCAACCTGAGGGACATCATCGTTTCGACCACGCCCAAGTGCACCCACTCTGAGATGACCCATCAGAGTGCAGAAGAAGAAGCCTGTCCCGCCAGCCCCAAACCCCCGGAAGGAGGTGGGGCCACCCAACACCACCGCAGGCTGTTCGAAACGACCCGAAAGGCCCATAAATAATGGGAGCAAGTGTGAGCAAACAGAGCGAGCCTTTCCCCCAATCGCCCCATCAATGGGAAGAACTGTGAAAGGAAAGGCCCCTTATGAGAACCCGACCTTCACATAAAGCGATCACCGCGCCGACCAGACAAAGATGGTTCCAAAGGCTACGCCAGCCCTGAAACTAGCACCACTGGCCTATCATGATGGGAGGAACTCCGAGCCCTGGCATGACCTTTCCAGGAGGACCACCCCCCTGAGAGAAATAACAAGTCCGACATTGGACGATTACTGGAAGAAGCTGCCTGTAGGGACTGTCCAACCGTTGATGGTTGGGCCCTTCTAACTGTTTGGAGGGCCACCCAAACAACAGAAGTGGACTAATAGCCAAACTAGGCAGACCCACACCAGGCAAGAAAACAAAAAGAAAGAAAACCCCCACAAAAGAAGAACGTCTCCAGAAGGAACAGAAACCAGCTGCCGCATAGGTAGGCGAGCTGTGTAGTACCTTGTGCCCCTACCAGTAAACAATACCACTTCCTACCCAAGGTTAAACAGAAGTCACGAAAACCCAGCTGGCCCCGGGGGAGGGGTAAGAGCTGAGTGGCAAAGACCCCCACGGAAGCGGTTTCCAAAAGTTCTATGGAGGGGAACCCTAGAACCCAAGGGTAGTACTTAGAGGGCGACTTGGGTAGCCGGTGGGGAGGGGGGTCTGCGGCTCCCGCCTCCCTCTCCTGGAGGAAAGGGATGCTGCACGGACAGGCGGCACGGTGGTGAGGTGTGACGTTTGCTTGTTTCCTTAAGTTGTGGGGTGAGTTCTGCTTACCTGTGGCAGTTTCTTACCAAGTGGGGTGTTTGTTTTGTCATACCTACCTTACTGGGTGCCAACCCAGGTCAATGGCAAACATGGAATGCCCCCAACCACACAGGGGTTTCTATAGGCCATTGCTCCTCGTGCCTCTCTGAGGGGGGCCAGGTTCTGGCTTGTGGTCCCCGGTAGGCTGAACTCCAATTGACTGATGCCCCAGTTTAATATAATACTGATAGCTTCAGGGAGCCATAGGGGCTCCCCACAGAAAACATATTAAGAGATAGTTAGAACTGAAAATCCATCGGCACTGATTATCTTTACCAAAGTTGTTATCATGGGTACACTGCTCTACAAATACTTGAATTTTTCATGATTTCATGGTATGTTTCATAAGAAATTTATGTGATATATAATAACATTTGTTAAATTATTTACTTACACAGCACCACTAGAAAAATATCCAGACTGATAGATACAAAACAAATAATTTAGCTACATCCTCTCCAAACCTTCTAACAGGAGATAATTATGAAAAAACATATAATCACACCATTAATTCAGGATTGTGAAGTGTTCACTTAAAATCTTCAGTCTTAAAATGTTGAACCAGCAAATATAAAACAGAAATAATGTTGCCACATATGCTTATAAGCCTCATTATACAAACCTGATTAATGAGTTCATCTCTGTGTCGTATCTCTTGATAGTCAATAATATTCTGGGCATTATCAAGTCCATGCAGCAGCACGCGCCATATTCCATAATAATCAGGTCCAAACTCCTCTCGTGACCCGAGGCCACATATGGCACTACAAGCCTGAATTCGCACCTTATAATTCTTGAAGCTCTCCACTAAGCTGCCAAGAGTAGTGAGAACTTGACTCTGTGAAAAATATACCAAATGTGTTCAATTAGAAAACAGAAGAAAAAGGGAAAAACAGTGGTACCTCCATTTTCAAATTTAATCTGTTCCAAGAGATAGTTCGTAAATCAAAAATTTGCAAACTGAAACAAATTTTCCCATAAGAAGTAATGTAAATTGAATTAATCCATTCCACACACCCAAAAATATTAACTTAAAAATATTTTGTACAGAATACTACTAATATTTTCCATACACAAAACAATTAGGTATAAATATAAACCATAAATAAAGTAAGTGAACATTTAAGTGCACTTTACCTTTACTGAGGACTCTAGTTGGGGTATGGGAGACAGTGAGGAGGGAGGGAGGAGCGGTGTTGGTGTATGGGGAGGGTGAAGAGGAGGAGGGGGGGGGGGAGGTGAGACTGGCCCCTGCTCGCCTTAAACACTTTCATATCTGCATCACTGGTTCCAGATTTTTCTTTTACACATTTCACTGCCTCTGTTATGTGGCAGCCAGTCACAACCAGTCACTTACACTCACAACACGTCAGTTATGCATTCAGTCAAGACCAGTCACAGGCAGTCATAACCAAAGGCAGTCAAGCATTCACAGTTGTGGTGGCAACCAGTTAGGCATTTACAGCCAATCAGCCATTCACAGTCAATCAGCCATTTACAGTCGCAACCAGTCAGTCAGTAAACAAAAAGAGTTTAATGACAGGCGCTCAGGGAGTCTGCCTCCCGATCCAACAGTTGGTAGCAAGGAAGCCCAGCATATTAATAACATCCAAATGGCTGGGAGGGGTACAGCTGGGAGGGGTATCTGGGGGGTCCAGATGTAGGGGATGGAGGTAGTGGGGAGGGTGTGGGGGATGAGGGGGATGGAGGTAGTGGGGAGGGTGTGGGGGATGAGGGCGATGGAGGTAGTGGGGAGGGTGTGCGTTAGTCCTATTCAGAAGCTCGGCCACTCACGCCACAGCCTCTGCTACCCACCCACTCTCCCACCCATCCTGCTACTCATCTGCCCACCCACACTCTCCTGACTGCCCTGCTACCCAACCATCTGTGCCCACCCTGCCACCCATCTCCTTAAGTCTACCATCAGCCACCCACCACCTTAGTCTACCATCTGTCACCCACTGGTTCTGCTGCCTGCACGCCCACCCACTATGCCCACTCTGCCAACCATCTCACTACTGCCCGCCTGCACACACTGACACCTGCCTGACCACTGCTGCCCTCCTATCCACCCACATTGCTACCCGCCCTGCTAATCATCCATCCACTCACCCTCACCTGCCCACCCACTCGCCCTCCATGTGTTTTTCCCTTACATGATTCCAGGGCTGCTGTTTCTGAAAGATTTTCTTTCCTGTCCCACTCATTTGCCATCCATCCGGTCCCCCCACCATCCATCCATCCAGTCCCCCTCCCACCATCCATGCCTCCAGCACCCTCTTATCCATCCATCCAGTCCCCCTCCCACCATCCATCCAATTCCCCAAACCATCCATCCATCCAGTTCCCCCCACCATCCATCCATCCAGTCCCCCCCCATCCATTCATCCAGTCTCCCCCAACATCCACCCATCCAGTCCCCCCACCATCCATCCATCCAGTCCCCTCGCCATCCATCCAGTCCCCCCTCACCATTCATCCATCCAGTCCCCCCACCATCCATCCATCCAGTCCCCCCCCCATCATCCATCCAGTCCCCCCCCACCATCCATCCATCCAGTCCCCCACCATCCATCCATCCAGTCCCCCACCATCCATCCATCCAGTCCCCTCGCCATCCATCCAGTCCCCTCGCCATCCATCCAGTCCCCCCTCACCATTCATCCATCCAGTCCCCCCACCATCCATCCATCCAGTCCCCTCACCATCCATCCATCCAGTCCCCTCACCATCCATCCATCCAGTCCCCCCACCATCCATCCATCCAGTCCCCCACCATCCATCCATCCAGTCCCCCCACCATCCATCCATCCAGTCCCCTCACCATCCATCCATCCAGTCCCCTCACCATCCATCCATCCAGTCCCCTCACCATCCATCCATCCAGTTCCCCCCACCATCCATCCATCCAGTCCCCCCACCATCCATCCATCCAGTCCCCCCACCATCCATCCATCCAGTCCCCCCACCATCCATCCATCCAGTCCCCTCACCATCCATCCATCCAGTCCCCCCACCATCCATCCATCCAGTCCCCTCACCATCCATCCATCCAGTCCCCTCACCATGCATCCATCCAGTCCCCTCACCATCCATCCATCCAGTCCCCCCCACCATCCATCCATCCAGTCTCCCCACCATCCATCCATCCAGTTCCCCCCCATCCATCCATTCATCTACTCCCCTCACCATCCATCCAGTCCCCTCACCATCCATCCATCCAGTTCCCCCCCATCCATCCATCCATCTACTCCCCTCACCATCCATTCAGTCCCCCCACCATCTATCCTGTTGTCTTCCCAAATAAATTTATTCAAGTGCGATCGTCACCAGGCGGGAGACACTGGTAAACAGAAGCGCGCCTCACCTGTGCCACCAGGAACCACGTGCTCGGTTGACCCATACGTGTATCAACAAATTCGCAAAGCGAGGCAAAGCTCGTAAACCGATTCAAATTTTACGAAGAAATTGAGCTCGTAACCTGAAAAATTCGTAAAGAGGGACCTTCGTTACCCAAGGTTTTACTGTACAGTGGATTCCTGATTCAATATAACATGGTCAAATGAAGAAGCAGATGCGACAGAAAGGATTATGATCAAGTAAGTCATCAGAAGCACAGGAACACAACCAACATTCTCTAGCTTGAGTTGATTATTTGTACCAAAATATGAAATAATTCAACAAAATATTATTAAAGGTGGAGAAAAGACCCAATTTATGTTTAAGTGTATTAAAAAACAAATTTTCAGATGTAACCTACAGTATTCTTTCTCAAGATTCTGTGTACATTGGGAACACTGTATACAACACCTTGAGAAAGGATGTAGGTTACATCTGAAAATTTGTTTTTTAATACACTTAAACATAAATTGATCTTTCCTTCACCTTCGTTCAAGCACTAAAAACAAAACTTGAAGATGTAATTTTAAATGAGGTCATATTCCCGAGGGGCTACTCAATTTGGAGACGGGACAGAAAAATTAGGAAAGGCGGTGGCGTTGCTGTGCTGGTAAAAGAACACCTAAAGGTGAAGGAAATAATGACTGCCAATCCACAAGAAGTTGACATAATAGCACTAGAGATCTGCTATGAGGATGATAAACTAATGATGATAAATGCATATAGTCCACCGCCAAGCAGCACATGGTCAAAGGAGGAGCTAGATAGTAAACGTGAAGGTCTTATAACAATAATGAGAGAGATTATATCGAGAGCGGATAACGATAGATCACGACTGTTGATAGTCGGTGACTTCAACTTGAAATCCATAGACTGGGAAGCATATGAAGCTAAAACAGAAGATTTTTGGACCTGTAAATTTGTAGACCTCATCCTGGAAACATTCTTGTATCAACATGTTAAACAAGCTACGAGGATGAGGGAAGGGGACGTTCCCTCCATGCTAGATTTGATATTTACCAGGAAGGAGGAAGAGATATTTGACATTCAGTACCTTCCTCCCTTGGGTAAAAGTGACCATGTCTTTTTGGGAATAAAGTATGCAATGCGTTATAAGCTGGAAGAAAATAAGGAGGTTGAAGCAGTTGAAAAACCAGACTTCAGGAGAGGACATTATGGTGACCTTAGAAATTTTTTTAGTGAGTATAATTGGACGGACTTGATGCTAGGCAAGGAAGTGAATGAGATGTATGGCAAGTTTTGTGAAATATATGATAAAGGCACAAAAAAATTTATACCAAAACAGAGATGCAGAACTAGGAAACAGGATTGGTTCAATAGAAATTGCGAGAGGGCTAGAGACCGAAAGACACAAAAATGGAATCAATACAGGAAGAGGCCGAACCCCCAAACATACCAGCGATACAAAGATGCGAGAAACAACTACACGGCAGTGAGGAGAGAGGCAGAAAGAAATTTTGAAAAAGGGATTGCGGACAAATGTAAAACAGAACCAGGTCTATTCTATAAATTCATAAACAACAAATTGCAGGTAAAGGATAATATTCAGAGGTTGAAAATGGGAAATAGATTCACGGAAGATGAAAAGGAAATGTGTGAAACACTAAACGAAAAGTTCCAAAGTGTGTTTGTACAAAATGAAATCTTTAGGGAACCAGATACAATAAGAATTCCAGAGAACAACATAGAACACATAGAGGTGTCTAGAGACGAAGTGGAAAAAATGCTCAAGGAGCTCGGTAAGAACAAAGCAGCTGGCCCAGATGGCGTTTCACCATGGGTTCTGAGAGAATGTGCATCTGAGCTCAGCATTCCACTTCACCTGATCTTTCAGGCATCCCTGTGTACAGGAATCGTAGCAGACGTGTGGAAACAGGCTAACATAGTTCCAATCTACAAAAGTGGCAGCAGGGAAGACCCCCTCAATTATAGACCTGTATCATTGACAAGTGTAATAGTGAAAGTATTGGAAAAACTAATCAAAACTAAATGGGTAGAACACCTAGAGAGAAATGATATAATATCAGACAGACAGTATGGTTTTCGATCTGGAAGATCCTGTGTATCGAATTTACTCAGTTTCTATGATCGAGCCACAGAGATATTACAGGAAAGAGATGGTTGGGTTGACTGCATCTATCTGGACCTAAAAAAGGCTTTCGACAGAGTTCCACATAAGAGGTTGTTCTGGAAACTGGAAAATATTGGAGGGGTGACAGGTAAGCTTCTATCATGGATGAAAAATTTTCTGACTGATAGAAAAATGAGGGCAGTAATCAGAGGCAATGTATCAGAATGGAGAAATGTCACAAGTGGAGTACCACAGGGTTCAGTTCTTGCACCAGTGATGTTTATTGTGTACATAAATGATCTACCAGTTGGTATACAGAATTATATGAACATGTTTGCTGATGATGCTAAGATAATAGGAAGGATAAGAAATTTAGATGACTGTCATGCCCTTCAAAAAGACCTGGACAAAATAAGTATATGGAGCACCACTTGGCAAATGGAATTTAATGTTAATAAATGTCATGTTATGGAATGTGGAATAGGAGAACATAGACCCCACACAACCTATATATTATGTGAGAAATCTTTAAAGAATTCTGATAAAGAAAGAGATCTAGGAGTGGTTCTAGATAGAAAACTATCACCTGAGGACCACATAAAGAATATTGTGCAAGGAGCCTATGCTATGCTTTCTAACTTCAGAATTGCATTTAAATACATGGATGGCGATATACTAAAGAAATTGTTCATGACTTTTGTTAGGCCAAAGCTAGAATATGCAGCTGTTGTGTGGTGCCCATATCTTAAGAAGCACATCAACAAACTGGAAAAGGTGCAAAGACATGCTACTAAGTGGCTCCCAGAACTGAAGGGCAAGAGCTACGAGGAGAGGTTAGAAGCATTAAATATGCCAAAACTAGAAGACAGAAGAAAAAGAGGTGATATGATCACTACATACAAAATAGTAACAGGAATTGATAAAATCGACAGGGAAGACTTCCTGAGACCTGGAATTTCAAGAACAAGAGGTCATAGATTTAAACTAGCTAAACACAGATGCCGAAGAAATATAAGAAAATTCACCTTCGCAAATAGAGTGGTAGACGGTTGGAACAAGTTAAGTGAGAAGGTGGTGGAGGCCAAGACCGTCAGTAGTTTCAAAGCGTTATATGACAAAGAGTGCTGGGAAGACGGGACACCACGAGCGTAGCTCTCATCCTGTAACTACACTTAGGTAATTACTAAGGCAGTGCAGTAAGTTTCTTACGTACTAAAAGTCCCACCAATGGTACCCTAACATCCTCGGTGGAAGGAAAACAATGAATCCCACATGCAGGCGGGAGAGTCAAACAAACCTGGAAGACACCCCAGCCAAATGGAAACACATTCCTGAAGCAATGACAGAAATCTTGACCAGGAAACCCTCCCCCCCCCTCCCCCCGAAAGGTCTGCACATGAGCAATGGCCAAGTTGAAAAGAGGAGTGATAACTGCAAGAACACTACATCAGCTGACAACTGAGATTGAGGATTTCTCCTCACCCCCTTGAAAGTAGGAAACAATAGTAATATTGGTGGTTAATGTAATTGGTGAAGATGATAATTATGATTAAGTAATAAAATAACAAAATACTATTTCTTCTTAATACCTTCCAAGGCATACTGGCAATAGGTAACCGGCCACTGCTGAGTATATTTCCAAGTGCATGACAGGCATTCCACCGAGTCTTCATATTACTTCCGGTGCTGGAGCAGAACACCAATGTCTCTATAGCCTTTGAGACGAGCGGAGCTAAAGTTGGATCAGCTACTTGTTCTGCACGAAGGAAACTTGTCACATTTCCCACACAACGCACTCCATGAGGCTTAATCTTGTCTTTGTCCTTACATGCACGTATTCCCACCTCCAGCAGACGAGCAATGAGTGTTGGTGAAAGAAGTTCATTGTCAGGACCATGTTGCTGGCGCTTCCAACTATCACTGAAAGATTGAAGTGATCATTTGTTAATTGGTCTTGGGAAAGTGGATGAAACTAAATCAAAGTATTCATTAACCTCAGAAACACTGACCCCACACTATTTCACAAATCAAGAAATAACAAATCAAAATACACATGAATATGCAGTGATGAGATCAAGTTTTGCCTCTTAAGCATGAGTGAGATGTAGGGGAGAGCTCACCTAACTCTTGCTCACAAGTTCAAAACCCCACACAATTTGTGTGATTGATCATATAACAAACAATCTTCCTTGTACTGTACTGAGATTATTGCCACCTGAATAAAGACAGTAACATATAAATATGTTATTGGATGGGACTTTCTCCAGTTCATCAGGAACCCGAACCCGGCTAGCTGGGAAAGAACGACACCCCTGGTGAACAGACAAGCAGACCGGCTGAGAGCCCATACCAGCCAGTTGCAGAGGTAGGCCAGAACCCAAACCCCTAGCAGACGCTGATGGGTTACCACGACCAGGGTAAGACGCTTGAAAACATGAAGTGCCAGATTGAAGCCAAAAAGAAGGCAACAAAAGCGGTAAGCACGGCGCCCCACGATGAAACCTAACCAGTCCCTGGACTTCGGATTAATCGGGACATACCAATATGCATCCCGGAGGTCCAGGGACACCATCCAACAACCAGGCTCCAAAAGAAGCTGGACCTGGGGACAGATTGGCTATCTGTCTCTGCACACAAAACCTGAGAAGCACAGGTAATGGAAGAGAGCCGCAACCGGACACAAAATAAGACATATCCCTGGCCTGACCAATCAAGCATCAAAAACCCACGGACCCCTCCGGAATCCTGCCGTCTCATTCTTCACCAGAAAAGAAGGAAAAACGGCTGTAAACGAACAACCTTCCCCCCCCCCCCCCCAGGGCCAAAGGAGCAGAAATCTCTGCACCGGAGAAGAGCATGAAGATCCCTAACCCAACCCCCAAAGACCAAAGCTGACAAAAGCAAAGCCTTCCTGAAGCAATCCTGAACCCGAAAGGGCCCCAACAAACCGAAGGAAAAAGAGAACACCCAGTCCAAAGATCAGGATGGCTCAGGCAGTGCATGAGCAGGCCGGAGGTGAAAAATTACATGAGAGAGCTTGTGGAATGGAGCAGAAGTGACATCCACCCCGAATGCCAGCTGGAGCGGCTCGGCCAAGGCCGCACAAGAAGAAGCGACAGTATTCGGCAGAAGCCAGTCCTGAAAGAGCCAAGAGAGAAAGGACAAAACAATCCGATCAGAAATATACGACAGCCTACAAAGGGAAAGGAAATGGCGAAAAGAATGCCAAGAAACTTCATACTGTCTCTGAGAGGAAGACTGTAGGTGCAACACCATCAGAAAAGCCACTTGATCACCATACAAGTGGTGATACACTCATGTCAAAAACACCAAACGTGAAGTGCAGAAGAGTAGGAGAAACCAGCAAAATACTACACTGGCCTGACCTGCTGAAAGAGGCGGAGCCACGGAAAACTCTCTGGTTCAGACACCGAGCAAGCAGCTCCTGAAACCAAGGCTCTGCCCCCAAGGAGCCAGGAAAATCACCCTTCCCCGTAGGATTCGAGCCGAGCCAGAACCCAGAGCAACAGCTGGACCGGGGGAAAGAGGAATAGAAACTCCCACCCCGACCAATCCTGCCAAATGTGTCCACTGTGAAGGCGCCATATGAACTGTGAGATGCAGTGACCAAGCCGACACGAAGAGGTCCATGTCCAGGCGCCCGAATGTTAGGTAGAGCCAACGGAAAGAGTCGGTATCAAATGCCCAATCCCTGGACAGAGGGGAGAACCAAGATAGGCCATCCACCAGAACATTGGACAACCCCACCCCTCCCGAATGTGAACTGCATGGAGAGCTAAACCCTGAAAACTCAGCAGACGAGCCGCTTGAAGCAACCAGCCCCAAAGAGGCTTGGACCAAAGTCCACCCCCCACCCCCGCCCCGGTTTAGACAATAAACCATCGGGATATAGGACGTATGGAACCGGATCAAAGAGCCCCGAGCAAGCTGAATCCACCCCGGTGAGAACCCCACTGCCGCGAACTCCCACACTGTGCTGTGAGCCCGACGGAACAACGGACCCCAATGACCCTGACGGGCCTGGTGAGCAATTGTCACAATACCCCACCAAGAAACGAGGCATCCGCGAACACATCAAATGAGGGAACGGGAAAGCGTCAATGGCACCGAACTCCGAAAAACCCAAAGAGGAAGTCAAGAGACACAGCAACTGACGCAAGGCCATTGGAGAACGAATCCAGCGATCGCGAGAGCGATGGAAGGGGCTGTTCCAAAGGAACCAGAACAGCCACCAAAGCCAAATCCGACCCAGCGGGACGGATTTGTTCAAAACCAGCAAGACGAAGTTCAGACTCCCGCACCGCTGCTCAAGCAACCAACAAGTGACCCGGGACTACCCAAAGAACAGCTGAAGGCGGGACCCCAGCAGGAACAACGCTGCAGGAAGCAGAGACACGGACACTGTCTGAGAATCCCAAACCAGGCACAGCCAAGGCCGAACCTGGGAAGAACCAGAATCCCACTAGCAGAAAGCAGACCAGGAGAGAGCCTAAACGCACTAGCCACCGATGGATGCTGCCAGCCAGGAAGGCACTGAACCTTTAAACACCCCCATCAGGGTAGGAGGAAGCCAACTGAAACAAAATCGGAAACAACCCAAGAGATGAAACAGGTCACACTGGAGGCATGCGCTAAAGGCATCCCAAACCCCCAAAGAGAATCCAAGAGAAAGAAAACCTCCCAATGGAGGAATCCGCGGAACCCCAGGTCACTCGAAAACGAACCCACGGGGTGCCCTACCAGATTTGCTGAAAGAAAATGCACCACGGAAATGAAAAGCATCAACAGGTGTCCAGAAAAAGAACACATGAATGAATGGCAAGTCACATGACCCTAACAAAAGCCCCCACGGCTAAAACAGCCAGAAAACCGAGGGCCAAAGGCAAGAGAGCCGGAAGAGCATACAGGGTACGGTCACTAGGCCCAAAACCGGTGCCCCAAAGAAAACAACCCCTAAACCATCACCCAAAAGTCCCCAGGGAAACAGACAGGGTAGGACACCATGAAGAAAGAACAAGACAAAGTCATACAGCAGCTGCAGCATAACCAAGGACAGACCCAAGAACACACAGCAGAAATAGCATCCCGAGAAATGGACTGGAAAGTGAACAACACGTACCAAGGGGAGAACAGAACCCCAAAACCCCAAGCTTCCAGAGGAAGAGAAAAAGAAGAGCATACGTACCAATGCAGACAATACAGGGTAGGAAAAAGGGACAACTCAAGACGAGCAAAACCCCACAAAGCCGGGGCCAACTAAGCACCAACAGGACCCCCAGAATAAAAAGAGAAATCACCCAGGGGCAGAAGATGAAGGAAAGGGAATGCAGGAGGCAGAGCTGAAGGCCAGAAACTGAAAGCCTGCAGGAAAACACGAGAAAAAGACAGGCTCGAAGAGCCAAAATGCGACCCCCAGCAAGCACAACAAGATATGCACAACTTCAAACAAATAACACCACCACCTCAGCAGGGAAGCAGAAAATCAAAGCAAACCCCCTTACCTCCATGCCCCGAACAGAGCAGACACAACCCAAACAGGAGATACAGCATTAGGAGGAGGAATAGCACATTGGTGTTGACACAAGGAATCGATCTTTTTATTTATAATCTAACACTATAATAATTCATCATGAGATGCCGATCACTGTGTTGCTGTACACTGCATGGGACCAAAACTATGTTTAGGTCTCTATGCCACTTAAATATCCCGGGATACTGGCGGTAAATCACGGATGCACACTGACGTGTGTCTCCCTCACTGACCACTGACACTGACTCCTGTGTTTTCCCTCGGATGTTTCATTGGTTGTTATCATTTACAAGAGTATGTGTGTTGAATAACTTGATAACTCACATAATTCACATAACACATGATAATGTTTCAACTGGTGATTGGTTTACCTGGTATACTTCATTACAACCATATAGAGTAGTGAAAACCATATAAACGTGAACAAATCCACAAGGGCCGTGATGAGGATTCGAACCTGCGTCTGAGAGCATCCCAGACGCTGCCTTATATAAACATAATATACAATGGTGTTGGGCTTTGGGCGATGACATATGGCCTAAATGACACCATATGGGCAACAGTATGGATTGAAACAAAGACGTAAGCCACCAATGTGCCACCCACAGATGACGGCAGGCTCCTAGTACATGTAACACAGGACAATGTTTCAAACTGATGATTGCTTTATCTGGTATTGTATACCTCCTTACAGCCACATGGAGTTGTGAAAACCTTATTAACATCATTGGTATACACATAATCTAAGTATGATGGCATTTTATACAGTGACGATGACCGCATTCACCTAGTAATATTTATGACGATATACCGCATTTACATAGTAACGTAACCATGAAACGATAGCAGGATTTTTTCATGGATCAAGGTAAACTCTACATTCACACAGCTATTATATCCTTAATCGCATCATACATATAAAACCAAAAGCATAATTGTTTAAATTGTTATATGATGATATAATGACTGGAGAGGCCACTCCAGACCGACAACTAGAGCACAACTCCATAGTCTCCCGAGACTGATGGATGCCTACTACTACTATATGATGATAACCGCATTACACCTGTGAATCAACATATGATGATAGCCAATATCTAAAGGTTAAAGATATTCTATACAAACAATACTGTTGCAATTTATAAATATTAATATTTTAACAATGACATGCACTTTAACCCCAAAAGCTTGGATATGTAAATTATTATAATTTCCATTTAGGGCAAAATATAACTGAATATATGACATCTATATATTTTAAGAAGCAAGTTCACAGGTCACACAGCTTTTCATGGACGTTCAATGGACCTTTATCTTTTAGGCTGTACATTAGCCATATATAAAAGGTTAAAGGTAAAAAAGGAAACTTACATATAAAGTTCAAATACAGATGATATATTTGCCAGTGCCCATGACGCAAGTAGACGATCTCTATTCACATTGTTCTCTCTCTGAGCCAGCAGATCACACGTGGTCTCAACTGTCACAAGCAGGAGAGACACCCCACTAGGATTTCCAACCACTCCAGGAAAACTAACAATAATGGCCATGATACGCACTCCAGCCAAACGATGGTCAGGGTCATGATGGGTTACCAGCCACTTGACTGTTGCTATGATGCGGCTCATCCACTCTTCGCCGAGAGACTCAAAGATCTGGAGATACACAAGAATGGTTGAGGTCATGGCTATTGGGTGATTCTACAATACAAGAACATGGAGAAAATCAAGCATTGAATGTAAGGAAATGCACTTTTCTAGGGGAGGACCTACTGGCTCCCTGAAGATGGATGAGATGGCTCCCAACTACTAGGCCACATCAGCTGATGAACCACATGATGAACTGATGAACCTGGAGGGAGGGAGGGTGTCAACGAGCCACTGGGTCTCCTTTGGAAATTGGTGTTTCATTACATTCGACCCTGGGTTTCTGGAGGGAGCCCCCATGTGGCCCCAGAAGCTAACTAACAACGGACCTAGGACGAAGAAGAGAAACAAGGCAGGGTGATATGGCCCAAAGCCACATATGACTGATAGGGCCCAGGAACATCAACTAAATACTGGGTTGCCAGCACCCAATTAGAACTCCAAGAACCCTGAGCCCAAACATCAACACTGGACATGTCAGAAAAGACGGCAGCCAAAGCCACATATTTATGAACATCATAGGCCTGAGGGTAAACCAAAGGCTGGCTAGATTTGAGGATGATGCAGACAACCAAAGAAATGCGAGCCTTTGAACAAGCAACCAAGGACACAGGAACAATCACCAAGGTGTCCACCGAGACAGAACTGGTGGTACACAGTTAGAACCGAAGAAACACCACCGGACACAATAAATACCCTGTCCCCAGTCGAACATCTGAGCATTAATCTTCAAAAAGACCCCTCTGGAAGCCCACCAACTCATTCTTTGCCAGAAAAGAAGATGGCTGAAAACAAACTGCTCACCAGGGCCAAAGGAATAAAATCCCTGTCTCTGGAGAGAAGCATGAACCAGTGTTCATGCCTACCTTCAGTGTTCACAGCTTTGTGCTCAATTGGATACCATAGAGTTGGCCTCTCTCATTTTTTGAGATACAGAATTGGAAGTGTTTGTCTCCCCCCATTTGCAGGTCTGACAAAACTCATGATATGCTCCCTGCGAAAAGAAAGGGCAGTCTGCCAGCCAGAAAGACTACGAGACCTCATAACGCACCCAATACGGCAAGACACGAACTCAAACAAGGATTGATCCATGACAGAGGCAGAATCTGGGTCTCGCAAGAGGTAAGCCGCAAGTGACTCCTGAACCTCCTTAGATGAGATTTGAGAGACAGAAAACCTCGAAAAGGAAGGATCCAAGGAATTCAAGGTAACCCGGAACCGAACCCCGAGGAGGAGCCAACCCCAAATCATACTTATACAGGGAAAGGAGGTTAAGAAAACCCCTTTCCCTGCAACAACAAACCCCACAAAGAGGCACCAAACTCAAGCAGGATCAAAAGGGGCCCAAGCCCCCCAGGCCAACTCCTCCCCCACCTCGGGATCCTCCAAACCAAGACCCGGGGGAGAGCTGTCCTCCACGCCTGACAGCTGGGTGGGCAGCGCTTCGGATTCATAGTCCTGAGGTTCTGGGTTCGATCCCTGGTGGAGGCGGAGACAACTGGGCAAAATGTTTCTTTCACCCTGATGCCCCTGTTACCTAGCAGTAAATAGGTACCTGGGAGTTAGACAGCTGCTATGGGCTGCTTCCTGGGGTGTGTGTAACATAAAGAAGGCCTGGTCAAGGACCGGGCCGCAGGGACGCTAAGCCCAGAAATCATCTCAAGATAGCCTCAAGAAGATAGACACCCCTTACCCCTGAAGAAAAGGCAGAGTCAGGGGAAAGACAAGCAAGAAGGGGGTCTGCTGTTAGGACTCCAGAAACCTTGGCAGGAGGAACAGGCTTGAATGCCTCTGTCCACAAATTGAATGGGGCAGCCCCCAAAGTCGCCCGAGCCTCATCACTAACTAAACCCTGCCCCGACTCTGAAACTCTCAGACGTTTCGGAGCTGGGAGCAGGAAGGGGAAGGGGGGCAGGGAAGCAGGGCGAACAACACCAACTGGGGAAGGACTGGGTAGCGCGAACTGAACCGAAGTTGAAGCGACTAACGCACCCAAACTGGCAGCCTTGGGGCATCGGAGCGGGCAACCAACCTAGCGCGTTGCAGCAACCTAAACCGAGCATGCAATGTGGATTCTGCCTGTACTCAAACCTCAATGTCTATAGAATGGGTAAATTAGTGCACGAGCACAGAACACGTCTCACAAGACCCTGGGTCAAAGGTGTCGTTGACCCAACAGGCAGCATGTTGGAGACAAAATTGCTGACTGTCACCCTGAGACAAGGGCACAGAACAACCTTCAAACTTGCACAAGGTGAGCTGGAACACAGACGATGCATCCATCGGTTCACCGAGCCCCAACTGGGTGTTCCAGGGCCTGTAGGCTGACTGCTACGGGAAGCCCTGGCAAGGTGCTGCAAAGCCGGTTAAACCCAAGAGCTAACAAGGGGGATGAGCTAAAACACTGAAACCCCTGCGACGTGTACAATCACGGGGGCCTGGAGGAGGTTATCTTGAGATTCTTGAGAGAAGGCGGCCACCATCTTGAGAGGAGGGCCACCAAAATATCATAAGTGGACCAATAGCCAAACAAGGCAAACCCCCCCTCCAAGCAAAGAAAAAAAAGAAAAAACCCCACATAACGTCTCCAGAAGAAACAGGAGCCTGCATGTTTGACTAGCTGGGCATGGGGCGAGTCTAACATGAGTCCTTGAATACTCCTCAGACCCCACTTGGTGCTTTGTCCCTTCTGATGAGGATCTTTTGCTTAAGAGGGAGAGTTTTTTTTACTCCCTCCCTCCTTGTATGATTTTTATCTTTCTGTGGTTTTTCCCACCCAGGGTTTGTTTCTCCATAATTTACAGTCTGTCAGACGTGTCTTTCCAGTGGTTTTCTTCCTCTTTGGTGTCTCCTTTGGTGGCTCCGGTAGATCTTTGTAAATACTGCCTGTGTGACCCAGATTTTGTCTCTCTGATGGACCCTGTCTTTTTATTTTCTGTACTGGTTGTGTATGAGGTTCCAGAGTTTTTCTGGCTAGCCAGCCCGTCCTTCAAAGGTTTTCCAACGTCAAGAAAACAGTCAAATTAAAGTGTCCTCTCCTAACCTACAAGAGAACCCAAAACAGAAAACAGGACAATACATCACTTTTTTTTGAGCCACTTCCATTTTCTAGTATGTATGACAATTTTTGGCCTCTTATAACGCTTATAATCGAAATGTTACATTCTTTGTAAGGGGACAGGTTGGGCTAGCAGTCAATCCTCTTTTTCCCTTAAGGATTGGTACAGCTTCTATCATTCCTGCACACATGAGTTCCATGTGATTTAGAAATTGTTTCGGGAAATTTTGCGAAGTGTCCTTCCGAGACACCCACATCTCTTCGTTCACTGTCTCGGTTCTTCCCGGTCCCAAAATGAGATGTAGTGGAGCTTGGCTTCGTCATCGATCTTTCGTGGGTTGAATATCTTCATCCCCCCGCCCCCACTTTCTGCAAGACCACTCTGCCCCAGGTTCACCTCATGTTGGAGCCTGGACAGTTTCTCTGGAACTCAACTATGCTTACTGATATGTTCACATATATCCAGGATTCAGGGTTCAAGGTTTGGTTAGGTTTTGTTATGGGGCATAAGACTTACTGCTTCAGGGTCTTTTAATTCAGTTTGAATCTGGCTCCCTGTTTTTTCATCAAGTTGGCTTGGATTGTGATGACTTGTTTTCATTTGCTGAGGGATCATGTTCAGATGACTAGCTGGTTTGGGCCCTCAGTCAGTCTGTGTGTTAGCCAGATCTGGTTCTTTCCCAGCTTGCTAGGTTTGGGTTCCTGGGGAAATGGCAAAAGTTCCAGCTAGTTCTGTTCCGGGTTTGTATCTGGCTGGGACTAGTGTGGGACTCTTGGTTGGCATCACTTTCTCTTCCTCAGACAGCTTTGCTCCAACTGCAGAATTGCTGCCTGCTGGTGTTGAGGCAACCCCCAGGTGGCTTGGTGGTTGTTCGAGCAGCTGGACAGGGTGTGGCTTGGCTTCAATGACTGTCGGGTTCAGGTCTTTATCAATCTTCGCCAGCTGCTGCTTTGCTGGCTTCCTCTTTGGGATTTTCAGGGCTCGGTTCACTGGTGCCATCCTCCACCATCACTCAACGTGTTTACAGATACTTCGTTCTTTGTTGGGGTTTCATGACCAGCGCTCACCAAGCCAATCAGGTCCCTTGGTCGAGTCTGTTTCATCAGGTGGACAGTACAGTGTGCACGTTTGTGGCCATGTGGCATGCCCTGAGGAGGATGTCGATTCCTCAAGGCTCCATGCTCTGGCTACATTTAGATAGATTCCTGGTTGTCAAATGTCTTTACTGAGGGGGCTTCCCATAGTCCATTGCCCATTCAAGCTGTATGATGTGGGCAACTGGTCTACTGGATTCTCTGGATTTGGTTTTCTGTGATGTTCACATCCAGGGAGTGCCCAACATTCTCACGGATGGACGTTCTCGCTTCCTGCCCATCTCCACAAAGTTGACTGTCAAAGCCACCTTCTTCCATTGACTTGAATGACAGGACACATTTAGGTGTTCCGGCGAGGATCTCTGTGTGTTGAAAGTGGCACTGTCCTGTCTATGTGGCTCCATTCTGGGAGCAAGGTCCTCGCAGTGGATACCTTGTACCTGGACCGGTCACAGTGGTGATTTCTTTACCTATTTCCCCCAATCCAGCTGTTGCTCCAGGTCCTGGTCAGGTTGGAGTCCTACCAAGGGTAGACGATTCTCCTGAACCTTTGATTCCTGGCTTGGCCTTTATTTCAGGCACTTCTTGCACTTTCAGGCACTTCTTGCACAATGTCCGTAACAGATTTTTTCCACAGCTCCGCCTCTTTCAGAAAATCAGCCCAGTGAGGAGCCTTGCTGGTTTAAACTTTTCCTCTAATCTTTGTGTGTGGTCTTTCTCACGTGTCTCTACCGACATCTCAATGGTGAGCAGGTGACAGAATCAATGGTATCCTACCTTCATTTGTCTTCCTGGTGAGTATGAAGTAGCTGGGCACTCTTTTTCATCACTTCCTGCCTCATCGTCATCAATCTTCTGCCTCTGTTAATTTTATGCTTTTATTTCTCTCTTGCTCTCGTTGTTTCTTGACCGGTCTCTTATGTCTAATACTCAAACATTTTTTTGTTTGAAACTGGTAGAGCTGTTGCTGGTGTTTGGTGTTGATACTACCTCGGTGCCATTTAGGAGGCCATGTCACTCATTGTTTCACCTCCTGCCAGTTCATGCGCCGAATGAGCCCTATTAGTCTTTTGGCCGTGTATTAGTCTTTCTTTCTTCCCAATGGTTTACTGTTTCCCCTTCGATCTGTGATTCTTTCCTCAAGGCAGTTTTTCTGTTGGTGCCCACCTCCGGTTGTAGGGTTGGGGAGTTTCGTGCTCTTCTCAGGAGGCAGAGTTTTTGTTCTTTTGGCCCTGGTGGGCATTACGTTTACAGGCATCTCCGCCTTTTCTGGCCAAGAGTGAGTCAGCGGGCTTCTGGTAATGTCCTTTGTGTTTGATGTTGGTTCAGCCAGGGATGCATCATGTGATGTACCCAGTGGGTCTTTGCCACTACCTTCATACCACCGATTCTGCCCCATTGGATGCTTTGTGGGGTTGATCCTCATTCTTTGGTTCCCTATACCAAGGATCATGTTTCTCAGGTAGTCTGCAGTGTTATTAAGAAAAGTCAGCCTGCAGTCTATCCTCATGGCCTTGATGTTTGGAAATGCTACTCTCATAGCTGTGTTTACTTATTTGTCCTGGACCATTTAACAGGGTCTTGGCAGCCTGGTGTTTGGTGAATGTTCCCAGGCCTTGGCATCCTTGTGTGGTCTTGGGTCATGTCTCTTGTATGGGAATCTCTAATTTGTCCTGCCTCTTGCGGTGCACCCTTCTCACTGGTGAGTTCCCGCATGTTTCTTCCTTCTTTGGAGATAGTTAGCTTCTGGGAGTCACAAGGGGTTCATTCCAGAAAACCAGCATTACCTTGGTCATACTTTGGTGATGTTTGGTGGGGTTCTGGGAGTCCTTCCACTACCCAAGCCAGGCCGTGGGCCAGGTTTGTTTTGTGAGAATTTGGTCCAACAGGCTGTTGCTAGGAGCAACCTGCAGGACCATGTATCCACTAAAGCTTGGTTGGTCCAGCAATTGAAGAAAACTATCCAGTTTCTTCTTAAATATGTCCACATTTGTTCCAGTAATATTTCTCATGCTTCCTGGGAGGATGTTGAGCAGCTATGGACCTCTGATGTTCAGGTAGTGTTCTCTGATTGTGCCCATGGAACCTCTGTTTTTTATTGGCTCTATTCTGCATTTCCATATCGTTCACTCCATGTTCATTGAATGTAATGAAATGCCAATTTCTGGGTGAGCCCCCAGTACCTACCTGATCCCTCACCCCTTCCTTCCAGGTAGTCGGGTGACTCTTGATGATGCATCTGCTCCATTCCAGAACTAACAGTTCAGATCCTTAAGAGGGTAAGCCTATTAACCACCATGGTGTTATTTCATATACAGTATAGTGAAAGATTATGCTTTTGATACTAGAATAACAATGTTAAAACAACACTTGCAACCCATGAAGCAAAACTTTGACCCAGCAGATAAAGAGATGCCTGGAGAGTAACGAATGCATCGTGTCAGTTATGTCAATATAAAGGGCAACAATTGAATCACTCTTGTCTACTGTAGATAATTAGACACTCACAGAAGGACTCAAGTGCGTGAGAACAGTAGCAACAGCAACCATCTGCTTCAAGTGGTCCTCGTAATCCAGGGCTCCAGCACTCTCTCTCTTTCTCCAGTTTGCTGCCTCTTGCTTTCGAGGGCCTCCTCCCAAAAAATAAATTGTTAGTTTGTTAACACATTGAACACCAATACAGTAGCCCCTACAAAATTCAAGCCTCCACATAAAGATTCACTCTAAATAATTAAGCCATTTTACTATTGTATCACTCATTTAATATTTTAAATTTGTGCAGGCATTCTATATCTTGGTGCTAGAGTGGCTTTGTGGCCTTGCAAGCTTCTGGGGCCAGATTCACGAAGCAGTTACGCAAGCACTTATGAACCTGTACAACACAAAGAGTGTTGGGAAGACGGGACACCACGAGCGTAGCTTTCATCCTGTAACTACACTTAGGTAATTACATCTTTGCTCAATCTTTGGCTGATTTGTCTACAATTATTAAACAGTTAATGAGGTCTGAAGCACCAGGAGGTGATTTATAACAATAACAACAGTTGATTGGGAAGTTAAATAGCCTAAGCTACTCTATCCCTTCGAGATGTATTTATTGCTTATCTCAATAAACATACTTGAACTTGAATTGGGAAGTTTTCATGCTTGTAAACTGTTTAATAAATGTAAACAAAGCCGTCAAAGAATGAGGAAAGATGTACACGTTCGTAAGTGCTTGCGTAACTGGTTCATGAATCTGACCCCTGGGCTCCATCCCAGTGCCATTCAGGGTTTAATTCTTTTTCAAATTCAAAAGCATTGTTCATAAATATTTGTACATTTATAATTGTGTTAGTTTACAGAAAATTATAGTACATTATGTACATGATGAAATTCATAATAATAACATAACACAATCATTTTAATTATATATCATATAATCTAATTTAGATTTAGAAGCTATATTTGTCAGTGAAAAATCATTATAGTTATGGCTGGAGGGAATTACATTGTTACAGCCATACAAAAACTTACATCTTACCTTTAGAGCAGTGATGCTAACATTGGTAAACATATACAGTATACCATACAACTTGGATGATGAGAAGAGAATTTGAAGGCCGACCAACTTATGTTCAGGAAACGTTTGAGAGTCAGTGATGTGTGAAGGTTTGAAAGAAAACTCTAATTGTGTATGCTGGATGAGCGAGTCCCTTTAGACAAAACAACATTCATCTGCGAATTACTTCATGTGTGGATGTACTCACATAGCTGTACTCGCCTAGTTGTGCTCGTGGGGATTGAGCTTTGGGTCTTTGGGCCCGCCTCTCAACTGTCAATCAACTGGTGTACAGATTCCTGAGCCTATTGGGCTCTATCATATCTACATTTGAAATTGTGTATGGAGTCAGCCTCCACCACATCACTGCCTAATGCATTCCATCTGTCAACTACTCTGATACTGAAAAAGTTCTTTCTAACATCCCTGTGGCTCATTTGAGAACTCAGTTTCCACCTGTGTCCCCTTGTTCGTGTACCACCTGGTTAATACCTGGTTGATACCTGGTTGATGGGGTTCTGGGAGTTCTTCTACTCCACAAGCCCGGCCCGAGGCCAGGCTCGACTTGTGAGAGTTTGGTCCACCAGGCTGTTGCTTGGAGCGGCCCGCAGGCCCACATACCCACCACAGCCCGGTTGGTCCGGCACTCCTTGGAGGAAACTATCTAGTTTCCTCTTGAAAATGTCCCACCCATGTTAAACCATTTATCTTTATCTACTCTGTCAATTCCTCTTGAGAATTTTGAAGGTAGTGATCATGTCTCTCCTAACTCTTCTGTCTTCCAGTGTTGAGAGGTTCACTTCCAGTAACCTTTCCTCATAGCTCATTCCTCTCAGCTCAGGCTCTAGCCTTGTGGCATACCTCTGAACTTTTTCTAACTTCATTTTGTGTTTGACTAGATGTAGACTCCACACTGGAGCTGAATATTCCAGCATTGGTCTGACATATGAGGTATACAAGGTTCTGAATGATTCCTTACACAAGTTTCTGAAGGCACTTTTTATGTTCACCAGCCTTGCATATGCTGGTGATGTTATCCTTTGAATGTGGGCTTCAGGGGACAGGTCTGGTGTGATATCAACCCCCTAGATCTTTCTCTCAACCTAACTCCTGAAGGATTTCCTCTTTCAGTTGGTACCTTGTGTTTGGCCTCCTGCTCCCTATCTTCACAACTCTGCACTTCCTCGTGTTAAACTCCAGTAGCCAATTGTTGGACCATTCCTTCAGTCTGTCTAGGCCATCCTGTAGCCTCTTGCTGTCCTCCTCTGTCTTAATCCTTCTCATAATTTTAGCATCAACAGCAAACATTGAGAGAAATAAGTCTATACCTTCTGGAAGAGCATTCACGTACATCAGAAACAGGATAGATCCGAGTACAGAACACTACCGAGTACAGTATCCCAGTGATTACTCTTATGGGGGTCTACAAAAATTTTGACAAACTTGTGTCAAAAACTTTCTGACTGTCCAAGAAAATGTGGTCTGCCCATCCACATTTGCAATCTCCTGCCCTGCCTGATGTGGACACCAGGTCAGGCAGGAGATTGCAGCGTGAGAGAGGATGGACCCCCAAGATATGTTTTGAACATTTCCTCCATTCATAATTTAGCTTACCAAGATCAGCATTTTGTAGGTCCGATAATTCACATCCATGCCCTTAGGCCCATGCTTTTGTTGATTCCACAGAGGTGTAGGTGGTCCCTCGGTAGCTCTTTATCCACATCCTACTCTATTCTTTCTTATGGGATTGAGCAGGATTTTTCTCCCAGAGAAGCTTGTGAATGAGCCGACTAGCTGGACAGAACCCCAGGTCACTTGGGCTGCCATCTGTTGGTGAGTGTTTCTAGGCAGAGTGACATTACTGTGATGATGCAGCCTGTCCTCCCAAGGTTTCCCAACATCAAGAAAATGGTCAATTTAAAGTGTCCTCTCTTAACTTACCTGAGGACCCAAAACAGAAAATGGGACAGTATGTCACATCCGCGTGAGCTGCTTTCAGTTTCTAGTATGACAATTTTTGGCCTTATGTAACGCATATGAGCAAAAAGCGACGTTCTATATAGAGGCCAGGTTGGATGATGATTGTTTGGTTTACAAATATTTCCAATCAGTTGCTTGCTTTATATTACGGGTTTGATTTCTGGTGGGTTCTTTTGTTCCTGCAGGCCTCCTGGAGGCCTTTTGTGGCCTCCCATGACTGTTTATGAACCTTTCCAATGGGAGCAGAAAGAATCTTGCATTAGGAAGCAATTAAATAGGATACATAACTCAGAAAATGGATATAATCTAGAATGCTACTTTTTGTTTCCTCACCTGCTGTTGCCGAATTCTCAACACTCTGGCCTGATTGTTCTGCTGTAGACTGTTGCAACAATACTTGCAGGGGGCCCTGGGCAATAGAAGAATATTTTAAATTAATTACTTTATGAAGTAAAAATTGAGCACAGAATGTAATGAACTAACCTTTTCTGGTGGGTCCTCAATAGATCCCTGAACTTAAGTACTGGTATAACCAAATCCCACTAGGCATCTGTACCTCCCTTCCTGGCACTAGCGGTCAAAAAAATATGCAACCAAAGCCAAAAAACCAGCGTTGAATGTAATGAAACGCCATTTTCTGGGTGAGCCCCGGAGGCTCCCTGGAGCTTATCGGGCTAATGTGTGTTATATTAGACCGGGACATTAGCTAAGGAGTTCAGACCTACCAGGAACCAGCGCCAGAACCTGGCCCCTTCAGAGAGGTTTCAGGGAGCAATGGCCCTGGAAAACCCTCTTGTGGTTGGGGTTTTCCTTATCTGCCATCGACCGGGGTCAGGCACCCAGAAAGGTAGGCATAACAAAACAAACCCCACATGGTAAAAAACTAAAGCAAAAAAACGAACAGAGAGGTAGAAACTCCCTACAATCCCAAGGAAACAAGCAAACATCACACTTTACTGCCGCGTCGATCTTCGGGATCGGGGCTCCCCCTCCTCCCCCCGAAAGGGGGAGGAGGGGGAGCCCCGAACCTCACCGCCCCAACTGTCTAGCATCAGTTTGGAAGCTAAGCTTCAACTAACGAAAAAAAAACGCCGACCAGTGGGAGGGAGGGTTGCCAGGGAGCCTCCGGGGCTCACCCAGAAAATGGTGTTTCATTACATTCAAAGCTGGTTTTCTGTGAGGAGCCCCTACGGCTCCCTGGAGCTTCATACCCGAAGAGAAGGAAAAGAAAGGGCTGACCCGGGAGGCGTCTGCCACAAACTCCGCAACGCGAAGTCGAGACAACAGGCTGCAACCTGCAACCCAAGGCAACAGAAGAATGCACAGGAGCAGACACGCGCACAAAAAACAGGCGGCCAGGAACCTGTGCGATCCCCAAATCCTCGCGCCCGAAATGAGCCCTAGACATCACCAACATGGCAGCGAAAGCTGCAAATGACTGAACGGCACGGGTGCAAAGATAGACCGCAGGCTAGAAGACTTGAAAACTCTGCGGACAAGATAGGAGACCCGAGCCCTGAAACAGAGAATGAAGGAAACTGGACAAACCCAAAGTGCATCCCCAGTCACGGTACGCAGGTAACGGCAAAGAGGCACAACCGGACAACACAGGACGCACCCCCGGCCGAACCAACCAATCATCAAAAACCCACGAACCCCTCCGGAAAGCAGCCGTCTCGACCGTCACCAGAAAGAACGAAGAAAGGCTCAAACGTACGAACCTACAACCAAAACCAAAAGATCAGAAACCCCTGCACCGGAAGAGAGCTGGAAGCTCACCGACCCGACCCAACCCCCAGAGGCCCATGCCAACAAAATATGGCCTATGAAAAACAATCTTGAACCGAAGGGGCTACCACAAACTAAGGCAAAGAAACATAATTGGGCACCCTGATCAAGGACCAGGACTGCTCAGGCGACGTATGAGCAGGCCGGAGGTGAAACAAAACACGAGAAAGAATACTGAACGGATCGGATGTGACGTCCACCCCAAACGCAAGCCGGAGTGGCTCCGCCAGCGCCACAAGATACGAGGCGACAGTAAGAAGCACCAAATAACAGTCCTGAAAACACAAGAAAGGACAAGACAACCCAATGCGAAAGAGAAGACAACCTACGAAGAGCAAGAAAATGGCGAATAGAAACACCAGGAACGTCATACTGTCGCCGAGACGAAGCTCGGCGACAGTATGAAGAAGACCCTCGGGTTTGGACACCGAGCAAGCAGCGCCTGAAACCAAGGCTGGACCAGCCACCAATGGGCAACTCTTCCCTGTTAAGTCTCCAAGCAAGCCAGGACCTGGAGCAACAGCTGAACTGGGGGAAAGAGGTACAGGTAACCCCACCTCGCCCGGTCCAACCGAAAGGCATCGACCCTAACAGCCTCGCAGTCGCGGAAGGGCGCCACGTATACCAGGAGATGCCTCAACCACGCTGACGCGAAGAGATCCACTTCCGGAATCCCGAATGTCTGGCACAGCCAACTGAAGGAGTCGACCGTCCATTCCGTGGAAAGGGGAAGGAAATGAATCAGGCATTCCGTCAGGACATTGGGACACCCCCCCCCCCCCGGATGTGAACTGCCAGGAGGGCCAAACCCCGAGAACTCAGCAGACGAGTCACCCGAAGTGACCAGCCCCAAAGAGCCAAAGACCGCATCGAACCCCCTTGGTTCAGGCAATGAACTACCAAGGAGCAGTCCGAATGGAGCTGGATCGTTGATCCGCAAGCGACACGAACCCTCTGGAGCGACACCCACACTGCCGCGAAGTCCTTGACTGTACTGTGAGGCTGACGGAAGGACGGACCCCACAGCCCCTTTCCGGCCTGGTGAGCATTGGTCACAAAGCCCTAGCCAAAAGACGACGCATTCGTGTACACATCGAGCGAAGGCTCGGGTAGGCACCAAGGCAATGAACCCCAAAAAGGAAGCCAGCGACGCAGCAACCAACGCAAAGCTTCCGAAGGCCGAACCCAACGGTTGCGAGAAAGTTGAAAGGGAAGTCCCTGAAGGAACCAGAACAGTCGACGAAGCTACACCCGTCCTGGCGGGTAGATCATCATGGAAAGTTCAGGTTCCCGCACAAACTCTCGAGCAACTGCCTCGTGACCCGGGAGCCCCTCAGGAACAGACGAAGGCGGGAACGCAGACGGAGCAAAGCCACCGGAGGAAGAGACAAGGAAGCGGAACGAGCATCCCAAACCAGACCCAGCCAAGACCGAACCTGAGAGGAAACCAGATGGGACTTCCTTCAGTTCACCAAGAACCCGAACCCGGTGAGCTGGGAAAGAATCAAATCCCTGGCGAGCAGACACTTGGACTTGCTGGGAGCCAAAACCAGCCAGTCGTCGAGGTATCTTCATGAGGTTATCTTGAGATGGTTTCGGTGCTTAGCGTCCCCGCGACCCGGTCCTCGACCAGACCTCCTTTTTGTTACACACCCCCAGGAAGCAGCCCGTAGCAGCTGTCTAACTCCCAGGTACCTATTTACTGCTAGATAACAGGGGCATCAGGGTGAAAGAAACTTTTCGCCCATTTGTCTTCATCCCACCGGGGATCGAATCCAGAACCTCAGGACTACGAATCCGAAGAGCTGTCCACTCAGGTGTCAGAACCTGAACACCTAAAAAACGCAGGCGAGCCACCACAACCCGAGTAAATTGCAAGTTTTTAGTTGTTTGTTTCTTACCATGTGGGGTATGATTTGTTATGCCTACCTTTCTGGGTGCCTAACCCTGGTCGATGGCAGATAAAGAAAACCCCCAACCACAGGAGAATTTTCCAGGGCCATTGATCCCTGCAAACCTCTCTGAAGGGGCCAGGTTGTGGCTCGTGGTCCCTGGTAGGTCCAACTCCATAGCTAATGTCCCGGTCTAACATATTACACATTAGCCCATCCAGAGCCGAAGGGGCTCCCCCCCCCACAGAAAAACCAGCGTTGAATGTAATAAAACACCATTTTCTGGATGAGACCCAAAGTTTCCTTGGAGCTATACCAGGCTGATGTGTGTATATATTAGACCACGGCAACAGTTAATCGATGGAGTTCTAAGTCTACCGAGGACCAGCACCAGAATCTGGCCCCCCCTCAGAGTGGGTCAAGGAGCAATGGCATATAGACACCCCCATGTAATTGGAAGCAGTCTATGTTTGCCATCTACCAGGTCAGGCACCCAGAAAAGTAGGAAATCTCAAACAAACTCCTGCTGGTTAAAAATTGCTAACCGAAAGCCAAACTAACATGCAGAACTCCCCAATCAAAAATAAGCAAACAAGCATGACGTCACCACAGCCGCCGCGCCGCTGTCTATGTAAATCCCCCCCTCCCCAGGTGGGGGAAAGGGGGGTACCAGACGTTCTGCCCCGGACGTATTGATAGGTGCCGGTGGCGTCTATGAATACCGGTTATTTAACCCCAGTTCACTGGCTGCTGTGATTGGATGACATAGATTTGTTGTACAGCTTAGATAATTCAACAACCTGTGTACCATTTTCATGTTTATGAATAATCTCTTATTTTTCCTCTATGGTCATCCTAACATGTGTTTTCTTAGGTTGAACCTTACACTGACTTTCTTGGGACTCATGGCATGGTATATAATAATTACTTTATGTTTAAAAACCAAACAAACTGAAAAAAATGAGATTCTTTACAAGGAATTCAAGCGTGATCGTCACTATGCGGGAAGCACTGGTAAACTGAAGCGCGGTCACCCGAGCCACCAGGAACCACATGTTCGGTTGACTTAATCATGTATCAACAAATTTGCAAAGCGAGGCAAAGCTCGCACACTGATTCAAATTTTTCAAAGAAATTGAGCTCTTAATCCCAAAAATTTGTAAAGTGGGGCATTCGTAAACCAAGATTCCACTGTACTGTATTGACAACTATATTGCTTTCAAGAGTGGGACCCAGTTTTCTGGGTCCAGGATCATTTTTAGATCCTCTTTAGATGCCATGATCACTGTGGCCTCGTTCTTGTGACTATGTAAATCAACAGGTCCAACTGTTTTTGCTCTGTTGATTGGGGCTGCAATTTCATGTTCTGTACACTTATATACTCCAAGGAGCTTGACTTTCAGTTTTGTTTTGTTAGTCATGGTGGACTATTGATTTCATCCTTAGCGTTCACTGCCCACTGAGTTCCCTCTGGCAACGCAGTTGCTGTGGCGCAGTGGTAAAACACTCGCCCAGCGCTTCGCGAGTGCTTTGGCCTAGGTTCGTATCCTGGTCAGGGAGGATTGACTGGGCTCTAATCCTTAACTGTAGCCTCTGTTCCCCCAGCAGTGAATGGGTACCTGGATGTTAAACGATTTGGTGGGTCATAGCCCGGGGAAAAATTAAGATTAAGGACCTGCCTGAAACGCTATATGTGCTAGTGGCTTTACAAGAATGTACGTACAAGAATGTAAGAATGCCTCAATAGCTCAGGTTGTCAATGGGTAGTGTTGTTGCACTTGCAATTTGTTGTAAGCGATGATCCCATTACATTACATCACATCAAAACTGTCCATAGTATCCTGGACTTGCCAACATGTCCTAACACATGCTAGGGATGAAAACTGTAGGGAGTTAGTGAGGGGTGTAAACTAAGAAATAAAATACATGAAATTATATAAACATTATAGAAGCAAATCTTTAAAAGAATGACTTATTACGAAAACAACACAGGAAGCAATATTAACCTGAAGTGCCCAGAGCCACAGCTGCTGGACCTGATTCACTGTGACATAAGAATCAGTTCCCTTGTCCAAGTCAACCTTCACTGACCCCAACAGTGATCCCAGGAGAGTATACGCATGCTCCACCACCACACCTGTGGAATAAACATTTATTACCGTAAATATGTAAAAACCATAGCCCAGAGAGAGACGACAAGTGACAAGACAAAACAATATAATAATCACAGTTTTCATGACTAGTCCTGGTCATGCACAATGATGGTAAAAACTTTCCACAAGTCTAAAATCAAAGCAAACATGTCACAGATAAGGAACTAAAACCATTACAGATGTATACACATTACGTGGAACACAGCATAATGGACATTCTGCACACTCAGAAGAATGCAGTCAAATTAATAATAAATCATATTGATCACATGCACATACCTGGACAATAGTGTACTGGTAGCCAGGAAAATGTGATTAGTAAAAGGTTAGGAAACGGATGGACTGGTATGACCACAAGCTAGAACCTGGACCCATCTAAAGAGACACAGAGAGACGTAGCACTATGATGAAATTATCAGTGACTTTTAATCACATCCATCACAAACAGGGAAGCACCCACAAAGTCAGCAAAACAAAACAGACTGGTAATAAAGAATATGGATACCTCAAAATCACCAAAATCTCCAACTGTGAGATTTACCCTTTCACCATCTGGCATTTATGGAGCTTATGGGTCACATCTGGCACCCCACGTTGGGCACCAGATGTGAGATTACTGTTTTCTCCACCTGACAATGACTGGAGCTTATTTACTGTTAAGTGCCCTAGCCCCAAATTGGTATGCCAGATGTGAGAATATACTTTCAGGTCGACTGCAACCACACACCCAGACTCCATGCAGGGCGGCCAGATGCGTTGAATGAGCGATCTGAAAGGAGAGAGATAGGCGAGAACAACCGCCAAAGGTCCCCCAGTACAGGAAAAGGATGAAGACCAAGGTGGTCTTCCCCTCCACAATGCACCACAAGACCTTCTCTCACTGGGTCGTTCTCTCTGCATCTCGCTTGCAGAGAATAAAGTGGGTAGAGGACGGGTCCTCACACCGAATTTGATATTCAGTGATAAGGGTTAAGGGCTGGAGCCCGAACCAGCTCAAGTGCCTCTTCAGGACAACTGTAAGGTAATAAATGGGGGCAGTACTGCAGAATGAGGGAATGACATAAAGGCCTGTGTAAACAGAATAACAATATTTATTCAACAACTTAATGTCTAATACACTGTCCCACACTTTACGTTAAACTAAGAGTGTCACTTCAAATCAGACAAACACCACTTTGCAGTAGGCCTCCTTGACCCACCACCTGACAGGTGTATCCCATTACAGGTGGGTCGACACAAAGTCTCGAGCCACTGGACAGGTCATCAACAACAATGAACTGACCTGAAACACTTCGTGTACACTCTTGTCAAATCAATCACTTCACCAACACACTACATCAACATATGAAAATGCGTTCACAACAATGTCACAAAGACAATTTCCACAATAACACACCCACAAGTAATTTACCTTACTTTACTCAATTCCACTAACACATACAATAACACAACTAAATTACTTTAACAGCAATGTGACAAAGACATTCAATCAATTGCGTTAACACGTCACTCAGATGACCATCAAATATATTAACAATTAATTGCTCAATTAATTTACGTTATGTAAACACCAACAATTACATTAATCACTGTCACTCAGACAATTAACAATCACTTAACTCACGTTATATTAGTGTTTATCACATAGATGAAACAATCAATTAACAACTTGATATGCTGTCAACTGACAGCTACCAATCAATAAAGATACTGACTTTACTGATTATGTTAGTGAAATCTTTGTTATCGATTCATTAAGACAATCCAACACCGCATAATACACACATGTCAGTAGTTTCAAAGCGTTATATGACAAAGAGTGCTGGGAAGACGGGACACCACGAGCGTAGCTCTCATCCTGTAACTACACTTAGGTAATTATACAATAAACGCAATAATGAGAATCAATACTTGTCACAGAGACAAAATAAACTGATGAGTAACGCTAAACAATTACGTGTCACCCAACACATCACACAATGACTTACTCAAATACTGGATCTAGTCAATCACACCTTACACGCTTAAATTACAGCTGATCCTCGATGATGTTCAGTTACCTGGATGGTGATGATAAATCCTGATAATAGAGGTTGTACTACACAGGGCTAATAGAGGGCTGTACTACGCACAGAGATCAGCTATACAGAGCCCCAGCGAAAGTTGCAACAATTTCCTAACAGTCACTGTTTACTACGTGAAGTACAGCTGAGTCACTCCTTGATCACCCCGTTTTCTATCGATTAGAGGCGAGGAGAGACATACTGCTTCTCATAGCCTCCGTTTTCTGTTGGTGGCCCGTGAATACACACATGAATGCAGGATTTTTGTTGATGGAAATCTAATCCTCTGGACCTCAGTAATATTCCACCGATCCAGTGCCTGGAATAATTACTGGTGCGAAGGTAACAATACTTCAGGACAAGGGCAAATAGAGGCCTTCCTTCAAGCTCATGAAGGTGGCCTGCTGTCTCCCTGAATGTTCTGACCAGCACATGACCCCTCAGGCAAATGCCTGGAGGCTGTGACGTCAGTGGTGAAACCTCGAGGACAACGAAAGAGGAGTGCCACCACAATGTAGGCGAGCCTAATAAGCAGCTAAGCAGACCTCTGTCCACATACAGAAAACACCAGAAAATTAAATAAAGAACAAGCCCCCGAAACCACATCACAAGTAAACTAGCAGCCGGAGAGAAACGTCAGCCGTCGTATAGGTAGTAAGCAGACTACGCCAGCCGCAGTGCCCCCCTTTTCCCCAGCCAATAACACTACCCTACCGGAGCAACACAGAAAGCCCCAGACCCCCGATTAACCCCAAAGGTGAAGACAACATCAAGCAACGAAGCCCTCAAATGGAGAGTGAATCCCGAATGTCCAGGGAACATAACCCTGACACGCAAGGGTAGTACTCATGGAGAACCTAGGGAAGGGGTGCTCTAGGTGCATGTAGCTCCAAGTACAAAACACCTGGCCACCACACCACACACACACACACACACACACAGCTGGCACAGCCACATAGGGCAAAATCCAGAACAGGAACTTTAGGCCAGAGGTGACTGAGAGACCGCCAGCACATCAGGACTAGAACTGAGGTGGTGGGCAGCCGGCTCCCCCTCCCCCTTTTTTGGGGAAGAGGGGGATGGGATATGCTAACAAGCGGAAGTACTAGTTGCGGGCAGGGTTGCTAGTTTCTTTCATTTTATTTTATTTTCTTTCGGCGGAGTTTCTTCTCTCTGGTAGCTTGATACCTGCTTGATGGGATTCTGGGAGTTCTTCTACACCCCAAGCCAGCCCAAGACCAGGCTTGACTTGTGAGAATTTGGTCCACCAGGCTGTTGCTTGGAGCGGCCCGCAGGCCCATATATCCACCACAGCCCGGATGGTCCGGCACTCCTTGAAGAAAACTATCTAGTTTTCTCTTGAAGATGTCTATGGTTGTTCACGCAATTCTGATTGTCCCACAATTGTGGTTGTCCTCCCCACGGTTGTGGCTGTAGGTCGCAATTTTACCAGCTAGTTGTTTGTTTTGGTTCGCCTATCTTTCTGGGTGCCCACCCCAGTCGATGGCAGAATACGATATACTTTAAATGTAAAGTTCTCATACACCATTGCTCCCTGCACCTCTCTGAGGGGACCAGGTTCTGGCTTGTGGTTCCTGTAGGCATAAGAACTGTTACTGATGTCCTCAAACTAATATACCACATACTGTATCAGTTCAGATAGCCGGAGCCGACGACGGGGCTCCCCCAGAAAACATTAGAAAGTTTTCTTTTGTAAACAGTGGTCAACAGTTGGAACAAGCTAAGTGAGAAGGTGGTGGAGACAAAAACCGTCAGTACTGTAGTTTCAAAGCGTTATATGACAAAGGGTACTAGGAAGACGGGACACAGCGTAGCTCTCATCCTGTAACTACACTTGGGTAATTACCAGGAACCAATGCCAGTGAATTCAAGCCATCATGGAGCTTGTCCACAAACAGCTCCACAACTGCCAAAACACACATGATGGCTGCGAAGTGGACCTATGCACTGTGGCCTTACAACAGTAGAGGCTCCAGAGACCACAGGCAGCAGCACATGGAGTTGCCACTTACCTACCCTGGGAAGCACCAGACCAAACAAACAGTACTTCAGCATTGCATAGGGAGCAGTGCCTAGGACCAAGAACACCTGAAAGATGGAACTAACTACCTGCCACTCAAGCTTTCATGTTTGACAAAACCCATGCCAAGCCCCCAGGGTAAGAAAAGGGTTGTCATCCAAACAGGATGAATTGGAAACCTCATACCATAACCAATAGGAAGCAGCAGATCCAACCTCAAAGATGGTCAGATTCATTAAAGAATCAAGGTCCAAATTCTGCAAAAGGAGCTGAATCAGGTTCACCCATATCACAGAAGGAGCAAGGTGGAACAATGGCAACCTCCAGAAATAAGATGAGTACATGGAACTGAATGTAACACAGAAAATAACACTGGGGAGGGGGAAGCAGTTGAATAATCAAGCTCATACATTGAAGTGGGGTAGGAGAAATCCATCCAATGGAGCAATATCCTCACCCGATGGAACTAAGTCCACAGAGGGTTAGAGGGCACCCATTGACCCTTATCAAGCTTCCACCACACCACTAGCTCTGGAATCCAGCCAAGATGATCATGGGATGGACCCATATTCCATGCTCGATGCTTGAGACAATAAGGTAACATCGAAAGGAGAAAGATCAGCACTTGATATCGGTTGTGAAGGCGAAGGCTCAGCATCTCAAGGAAGAAGGGATGGCTTAACCTCTTCTACTGTCGAAGTGGATGGAGCCACCCCGAGAGGTACTCAGATCTACCGCCAAAGATAAACCCAGACCCGACTTAAAAACCCATTGAATACTTTGGAGCCAGAACCAGGGTAGGGAGAGGAATCAGAAGATGGTGAATCACATAAGCAAGGGAAAGAAGAGGAGGGGTGGCTGAAGCCCAGGAGGAATACACCAACACCTCCAAATTTGGGATCTTAACCACCACAGATCCCAAATTAGATGCCATCTTCAGGGCATCCTCTTGAGTTATACACCAGGAACCACAAATACAGGAAAAGCAAGCCCGCAAAGAGGCAGTTGCTTGGTAAGCCTCTTGTTATGAGGAAGGCTCAGATCATATGAACACAATGCACTCAGGTCAGTATCACCGGAAACAGATAGAATGGCGGAGGCAAACACAATGGCCATCAGCATGTAGTAAGGCTGACGAGCACTTTTCAAACTCTCATATAGCAAGTGCAGGTTCGACGGATCAGTCCAAGATGAGACATGCCGTTATGGGAGTTACCAGGGCCTGAAGGTAACTAGCAAAGCATGATGCCCAGGCACTAGGGATGCTCACTGAAACAAAAGACACCAAATGCAGCCGAGGATAACATGGTTATCGAGGGTGTCCACACCATGTCGTATGAACAAGCATGCGAACTCCAAATAACAACCAATCAGAATGGCCCCAGAGGAATCAACAACTCGTGCACTACTTCAGGCGAGGCTCTCCACTCCAGTCACCCAGCCTCTGAGGGGTAGACTCCCGAACACACTAGTAAAGTAACTATCAGTGCAGGGGCAAGGTTAGATGAACACCTAGGGAACGAGTAACCTAAATAACTGGAGCTCGAAGCAAATAATATGCTATGCCTGTGCAAGATTGCCGACAGATAAACACATGTTCATGAATCAAATACTAAAGATTTGAAATGATAAACAAGCAAATGACTCCCACAGGACACTGAAGAATGACTGCCACTTAACCGAGAAAAAAGTGGAACTTGCTATGATGAAACAACTACAAAATTTCTACACAGTGGCACATCAGTATCAGGACTGACCAAGAAGCCGGCTGATGGCTGGGAGCTCTGGGTCACCTGGTGGTGGCCATTTGCACTAGGGAGGGTCAAGCAAGTGTCAAGTGAACCATTTGTCATGAATGAATCGTCGCAGAGTTGTTTAGCTGTTTCAATGCTTTCTTTTCTATGACCCGTGCAGTTGCCTGTATTGCCTCACATCCTTTCCAGTTGCTTTACTGGTGCGAGTAATCGTAGCAATCCCTCAGTTTCTGCACGTCTGTGAGGAGGTCAGGTTCTGGCTCTGGTCCCTATTAGGCCAACAGGATTCATATGACTGATGTGACCCAGTAGTGGGAAGGCATCTCAGTGAGAGAGCTTCAGGGAACTTTCAAGGGGCTACCCTGGAAAACTGATAACAGGAATAGTACCTGGATCCGGAGACATTAATGCTGGGTCCAGACCATCTCCAGTCTCAGACGTCTTCAGAGACTCTGGCAGTAGTTGTGTACTCCTGGAATGAGGTAGCTCACGTACAGCATCACTACAAACACTAATCACGTGCTGAATGAGGGGCAGGCTCTCATGAATGATGCTCAGATGTTCACTCACTAAGGCACTTAACACCTTTAGTGACTGCAGCTGCACCTGAGAAACAACAATTAATCTCAGAAAAAAACCAGCGTTGAATGTAATGAAACGCCATTTTCTGGGTGAGCCCCGGAGGCTCCCTGGAGCTTATCGGGCTAATGTGTGTTATGTTAGACCGGGACATTAGCTAAGGAGTTCAGACCTACCAGGGACCAGCGCCAGAACCTGGCCCCTTCAGAGAGGTTTCAGGGAGCAATGGCCCTGGAAAACCCCATATGGTTGGGGGTTTTCCTTATCTGCCATCGACCGGGGTTAGGCACCCAGAAAGGTAGGCGTAACAAAACAAACCCCACATGGTAAGAAACTACAACAAAAACCGAACAGAGAGGTAGAAAACTCCCTACAATCCCAAGGAAACAAGCAAACAAGCAAACATCACACTTTACTGCCGCGCCGATCGTCCGCGCAGCCCTCCCCACCCCGGGAGGGGGAGGGGGGAGCCCCGGACCTACCGCGCCGGCTGCCAAGCTCCAGTTCGGAAGCTAAGCTTCAACCAACGCGAAAAAACCGCCGACCGGTGGGAGGGAGGGTTTCCAGGGAGCCTCCGGGGCTCACCCAGAAAATGGCGTTTCATTACATTCAACGCTGGTTTTCTGTGGGGAGCCCCTACGGCTCCCTGGAGCTTCATACCCAAAGAGAAGGAAAAGAAAGGGCTAACCCGGGAGGCGGCCGCCACAAACTCTGCAACGCAAAGCCAAGACAACCGGTCGCAAACCTGCGACCCAAGGCAACAAGAACGCCCAAGAACAGACGCACACATGGATGGGCGGCCAAAAACCTGTGCGACCCACAATTCCCTGCGCCCGAAATGAGCCCGAGACGTCACCAACACAGCAGCAATTGCTGCAAACGTCTGAACAGCACGGGCGCAAAGACAGACCGCAGTAAGAAGGAAAACACTGCGGACGACCCGGGAGAACACAGGACGCACCCCCCGGCCAAACCAAACAAGTACTAATACCCCAAGAACCCCTCCGGAAAGCAGCCGTCTCGACCGTCGCCAGGACAGAGAAAGGCTGCACACCAATAAAGCTACCACCAGTACCAAAGAGGAGGAAACTAAAACCGAAGGGGCTACCACAAACTGAGGGGAAGAGAAGAAGGCACCCTGAACAAGGACCAGGATGGCTCAGGCGACTCATGAGCAGGCCGGGGGGGAAACAAAACGCGAGAAGACGTAAGAAACGTCATACAGTCTCCAAGACGAAGCTCGCAGGTGGGACACCGTCAACAAAACCACCTGAACACCATAGAGATGGCGATACCTGCGTCAAAATACCAGACGCGAAGAGCCAAAGAGAAGGCCGAACCAGTCACGGACAGGACCGATTCGGCCTGCTGAAAGAGGCGAAGCCTCAGGAAAAACGCCCCGGGTACGGACACCTATCAAGCAGCGTCTGAAAAGAAGGCCGGGCCGGCCACAGTGGAACCATAAGGACTGTTCTCGTGGGAATGGGCTGCAACTGAGCCAGAACCCGAAGCAACAGCTGGACCGGGAGAAGAGGTACCGGTACCCCCCACCTCGACCAGGCCTGCCGAAAGCCTCCACCGTGAAGTCCTCGCAGGTGGGAAGGGCGCCACAAAACGGGCGACGCCTAGACCACGCCGACCCGAAGACGTCCATGGCCAGGAGTCCATAAGCCCAACAGAGCCAACAAAACGAATCGGCGACGACTGGCCAACCCACGAAGAGGAATGAACCGAGACAGCTGTCCACCAGGACGCAGGACACACCCCGGACACGAACCACACGGTTAACCAAACCCCCTGTGGTTCCGGCAAGAACCACCAGAGAACAGTCCAAACAGAGCTGAATGGGAGAGTACCTAGTGACCCAAACCCTCCGAAGCGCAAACCAGACAGCCATGAACACCTGAACCGGGCTGTGAGCCCGATGGACAGACAGACTCCATCAACCTCGGCCGACCTGGTGAGCACTGGTCACAAAGCCCCAGCCGAGAGACGACCCGTCCGTGAACACATCGAGCGAAGGCTCGGGGAGCCGCCAAGGCACGGAACCCCGAAAACCCCAAAGAGGAAGCTGGTGACGCAGCACCAACACCAGATCCCCAGAGGAACCCAAGGAATGCAAGAGGCGGAAGTGGAGTCTCCGTAGGAACCAACCGACGCCGGAGCCAAACCCGACTCCGCGGGCAGATAAGCACGCCGAAGTGCAAACTCCCGCACAACCGCCCAAGCAACCGCTGAGCAACCCGGGACCCCCTCCTGAACAGCCAAAGGCGGGACCACAGCCACAGCAACACTTCTGGAGGGAAGACAATGAGGGGCCCAAGAGCCTGAAACAAGGCCCAGGTCCGAACCCGGGACGGAAACAGAAGGTAAAACCTCCAGATCACCAGGAAACCAAACCCAGCGATCTGGAAAGAACCATCCCCTGGCGAGCAGACAAGCGGACTGACTGGGAGCCCACTCCAGCCAGTCGTCGAGGTAGGCCAGACACCGAATCTCAGACGCAGACAGGGCACTAAGATCCGGTAAAGATGCAAAGAGTATACAAAGTGCCCTTCACAAAATAGGGAATGCAATAAAAACAGCAAACCTGAAGCCCCACCACCAAAGCATTGTATGACAACCATATGAAGACATATTATGACAATCATTATATGACAATATGACAAGTATAATCAAGGCATTATATGACAAAGAGTGCCGGGAAGACGGGACACCACGAGAGTAGCTCACATCCTGTAACTACACTGAGGTAAGTACACATAGGGAATTACCAACCGTGCTAGCCCCAGAAAAACTGGAGAGGAACGTGCCAAGAAGTGACCTGGAGGTCCAGGTCCACCATCCATGCACCCGGCCCTAACAGAATCCGAACAGGAGACAACAGTCCTCCGAGCAGGGCAGAGGATCCAGGGCGCAGACGGAAGTAGTCCAGAAGAACTGCAGACTGGAAAAACTCATGACTGCAAAGAGCAGACGGGAAAAGCTCATGACTGCAAAGAGCAGACGGGAAGCCCAGAAGGATGGGGCGGATCGACCACGCCCCACGCACCCACGAAGAGGAAATGACGAAGCGCAGGGAAGAAGCCCACCCCGCCAGCTCTGAACCCCCCCCAAGGGGGAGAAGCCGTCCTCCGACGCCAGCAGAGGCCGGAAGACAACCCAAAGCGCCCACCAACAGCGGGACCAAGCGAGAGGCAACAGAGCAAGCTGCTCCCCCAGCGCCCAGTCAACAGAGAAGGGAACAGAACCCCTTCAGAAAGAAAAAGTACACTACCGAAGTCATGAGGAGAGACTACGGGAATGAAACCACACTTCGCTGGAAGAGGAAGTGAGGGGAGACCTGATCACCACATACAAGATACCCAAGGGAATCGACAGGGTTGAGAAGGACAGGCTATGTAACACAAGGGGCACACGCACTAGGGGACACAGGTGGAAACTGAGTACCCAAAAGAGCCACAGATAGAATTAGTTTTTTTTTTTTTTTTTTTTTTTTTTTTTTTTTTTTTGGTGAGTGTCAGAATGGGAACGGGAAAGCACTAAGAAGTAATGTGGCGACTCCTCACACAAGGAACGAGGCTGACCCCCATACAATGTCACATGTAGACATGACAGAGCCCAAGAGGCACAGGAACCGATACACCTGTTGACGGACGGTTGAGAGGCAGGACCAAGGAGCCAGAGCTCAACCCCCACAAGCACAACTAGGTGAGGACATATAGTGTAAAAGCACAAGCCGCCGACTAGTGGCAAAGAGCACTACGCCGGCCAGGCAAAGAAGGCACAAAACTGCATCAAAAGGCCCACCTCGACAGCAAAACCACAAAGTCCCAGCACAACCACAACATGTGCCAAGACCCAAAAAGCTCAGTCTGCAAGCCAGGAAGACCCCGGAACCCCAAAAGGCAGAACCGGGTCACATGAGGAAACAAAGTCCCCTGAACCCACAAAAGGGGGCCCAAGAGGAAGAAACCTCCAGAACGAAACCAAGGAACCCAAAGGAACCCAGAATCGAACCAGGGGGAGCCCAAACCACCACATTTGCCAGCGGAGAACACCACTAAAAGGCAAAGCACAGACCCCAGCAGAACGCCCTGGGAAAACGGTCCCAACAGACCGAAAACCGAGGGGCAAGGTGTGGGAGCAAGCATACCAGCCAGGGGCACTGAGCCTAAACCCAGAGGCTCAGACCCAAATCAACACCCAAACGTTCCCAGAGAAACAGGCAACGGCAAGAAAACACCAGAAAAACAAAGAAACGACAACAGGAGAACAAAAACCCTGCAAATTTTTTGAAAACTCACCAGAGACGCTCGCTCGCACACCCAGGCGCATGTAAACAAACCGCAACGCCGCCCTGGTGGCCACGCCGGGAAACCGGCAGACGAAAATGGCCGCCAGCAGGGGCTGTGACTGACGCTTAATACACAAAAACACGCCAGCAAATGTGGGAAGCTAGCAGACTGGAAGGGCGAAAAACGACGCCCAACAGCAGAAAAACCCCTGAAGGGGCAAAACCGCCCCAGAACTGCTAGTAGGCATCCCCCACAGCCCCGGGAACCAACAACAGAGGCCCCGGGGCAGAGCCGTCCTCCAAGCCCTCCGCCCTGAAAGAAAAGCAAGAGCCCATGGGAAAGGCAACAAGAAAGGGCCGCTGGTAAGACCCAGAAGCCTTGGCAGGAGGCACAGGCTCAAACCTCCGTCCCCAACCCGAACGGGGCATCCCCCGAAAACCGCCCGAGTCTCTGCCGCAACTGAACCCCGCCCCGACCCAGAAACACGCAGACGGTCCGGAGCCGGGAACATGGAGAGAAAGGGGCGAGCAGCACCTAACCAAACGGGGCGGCCACGGGGCATTCGAGTGGGAAACCAACCTAGCATGTTGCAGCAACCTAACCTAGCTTGCAACACGGATGCCGCCTGTACTCTGAACAGTAATAACATCAGGAGAGTACTGGAGAACAAGCAGAGAATCACTCGCAAGACTCCGGGTCAAGGTGTCAGTGACCCAACAGGCAGCATGA